ATTGAGAGGTCCAAGCCCGAGCTGCTCGCTCTTTGCCATGTCCATTATCAGGTGCTTTTTCGCGTGTGTGCGTGTGCTCGAGTTCCACATTCCCCGCAACTATCGCTAGCATTTCTCAACTGCAAAGAGAAACAAGATTAAACACAAAGCCTCCCGCTCCCGGTGCTTTGTCCTCTAGTGGGCCTGCGCCACAGGGCCCCAGGACCTTTTTCGTCTTACATCCATCAATGTCCTTGCCAAAAGGTCAGGGCGCGGGACTGGGTGGGCTTGCCTTTTGCCTTGCCCTGCCGGGGGTCTTTTTTTGGTTGAAAGGTCTCGACCCGAGGAAGGGCGTGCGCGCTCGAGGATCCTGTGGGAGCCATGACCCTACCCTGTCTGAGGGGAGTCCTACCCCCTCACCAACAACACTTGGCTATTTTTCAGTTTTCTTGGTGTTTTTTCCACCCTTATCTTTCTTTTTTTCATGTTGTAAATGTCGTGTAGCAAAACCCACAAGCGGGCCGCCTGGTGAGGCAGACCAGGGGGGGTGATCACACCGTCAAAAGCGCACCAGAAAAAAAGTGGCGGCCGCGAAATGGGATCGACGTTTGAAAAGGCGGGGTGGTTTTGGCGATATTAACCAAGGGGACGGCAGCGAGGCACGAGAAGTGTATCTGCCGAATCTTGGTGGTGTCATCCCAAGTCCTGTCATGCCGGGGAAATAGCGTCCGTCTTGACGGGTTTACTGTCAATGGGGTGAGCGGTGACGATGATCATGGTTTGACTTTTTTCTTTTCTTTCTCGTAGTCCTTTTGCTTTCTCCTCGCCCATTTTTAATCCGACTTGTCACAAATCCCCCCTGGGCCTTTTGTGTCTCGTATTCATCCACGCTCTGACAGATATTCTCAATAATCCACACGCCCCCTCGCGCTACTTTCGGAAAATGTTGACCGCTTTGTGACATGCTCGCCGTGGCCGAGAAATGTGGCTCTCGTTCGCCTGCCGAAACGAACATGGAGAGATCGTCGTCGTCAGCGCGAAAAAGCAACACATGCTCAGTCGGTGACTCGGGTGTCTCTCTCTCTCTCTGGATGCGTCTCACGGTTCTCGCCCCCTTCGCACGTCGACACCCGTTGCAGATCAGATCTCTCGAGACTGGCGAATCCCCACGGGCAATATCACGCAGATTGCGAGAAACCGGGCAACAAGAAAAGGTAGTCTACTTCTAACCGGCTTTCCGATGACGCGACTAGTGTCAACCCGCGACCATTCTTATCCCCAGTGACCGGGTCATCCGGGATGCCCCATGTTTTGCCAGACCCCCCCAACCGACGTGTTGTAACAGAAACAAACGCCCACCCATGGGTTTTCTCCTCCCTCTCCCCTCAGCCCTTCTTCCCAGAGGTCGTCGACGCACGCGTTCGTTTGCTACGCATCTGTAATCGGCACATGGCGCATGATTGCCCCTGTCCGCAGAGAGGGGAAATGAATGGATGGGATGACTGCCGGTGAAGCCAAGGTCCCCTGCACGCCCGGCCGGAGGGCGGCGTGTTTATGCCGGCCCAGTCCCTTTTTTTTTTTGTCACGGGACGGGCATGCAGGCACTTCGAGTTCGACGGCCGTCACCCGCCTTGGTCATTACGCTTGCATGCCCGCGAAAACTAGGCAAGGCAAGGCAGCGAGGGCTTGGGTGACGGTTGGACAAACGCACATTTGGCCCCTGCTCCCCTCTCCGCCACACCCCGGATAGTCACATGTGAGGTTACACCCATGGTTTCCAAAACGTACGATGACAAAGAGACACACAGGGCTCCGAGGGGCCCGATGCGTAACGTTGAGTTTTTTTCTTTTTTTTTTTCGTCTTTTGCTATTACCTTTCAGGCGAATCACGCAATCGTCCGATTCTCCATCGGACCAGTTGGGTTACAGTTGGGCGCGCGCGTCCCCAGCATGACCCGAGCAAGAAGCTGGGATGTCTTTTATGATGCCAATCCTCCTTGCCATACATGGATGAATACGGCAAATGCCCCCTGGGGCCTTGGCACATTTTAAAACCCGAGGCGGGCGGTCTAGATTCGCGGGAGCCCGCATGATTACAATAGCGCACCGGGCGTTGAGTTTAATACTCGATATCTGATAATATGTGGGGGAGGGAAAGGGGAGGCGCACGGCTTGTTTTTCTTTTCTCAGGGGGTCAAGATGAAGGTTTGGCTAGGATCCGATGCCGTGTTAGCTCGAGATATCCTCCAAAAACCTTGTTATTATAACATCAAAGCGTTTGTTAATATAACACTACAGCGCCATCGAGAGGGGCGACTATAGGGCACGGCGAGAGTGTCACGCGAGAGATGTTTGCATTGTTGAAAATTGTTTCGGATTAGGTGACTGAGCAAATTATAACGGGCAGAGTTGGCATTACCAGAGGGGATCCGAGATGATGGATTAGTAGTCGCAGGAAACCATATCTGGGATACTGTACTGCAGGACGGGGTCCTGACACGAACTCGACTCGTACACACGTGGGATTTCGCATCTAGATGAGATTTTGATAAATGAGAGAAAGAATACGGGAATCTTGGGACCACAAGGGACCAGACCCGATAACGAAAGAAACCACGTTCAGCACAGCCAACATCTAAGCCGAAGCGGCGGCCCCCTCGCGCCGGCGCCGCGTGTTGAACGTCTTGTCCATGAAGCCCGTGATCGAGTCGCCGAAGCCCGAGTCGCCGGACCGGAAGCTCTTGAGAAAGACGCGCATGGCCATGCGGCCGTCCATCTCGACGCCCTCGTGCCAGCCGCTCGGCACCTCCTCCGTGATGACCGACAGGTCGACGGGCATGTTGGCGGCGGCGTCCCCTATCATGCTTGTTTCGGCTAGGCTGAGCTGGTTGGCGTGCGACTCGAGCTGCTGCATCGCGGTCGGGGCGGCGGCGGCGGCGTCCGAGAGGAGGGTGGTCGGGGTCGGGGAAGGGGAGGTGGCGCGAGACATTATTTGCTCGTACTCTAGCATCCTGGCGGCGTAGAATTCGGCTGATGGCGTCGCCGGGGTGTCGGTGGTGCTGCCGGTTACGGTCGTAGGGGGCGCCAGCATCGAGGCGACGTCGAGCTGGCGCCTCAGCTGGGCGAACTCGCCTGGGGAGTACGGGAACGATGGAGCAGGCTCCGTAGCAGACTCGGCGGAGTCTTGCCCACCGTTCGCAGCAGCAGCAGCAGCAGCAGCAGCCTGCTCGAAACGGCGCATGGCATCCCCAGCCAGACGCACAGCCAGCGCAACTGGGGTGGTCTCGTCGCCCCCGGACCCGCCAACCGGCGCGTCGAGATGCACGGCGAACGCAGACTGCAGCAGGGCGGCGACAACGTGCGGGTTGACGGCGGCGACGGCGGCGGCCAAGGGGGTACCGTGGACGACGTGGATGGCGTGCGGGCCGAGCGAGGCCGGGTCCGGGAACATGTCGAGGACCTTTTGCACGATGCGCTCCGACGTCTGGGCGTGGCTGTTCCAGCGCGCGGCCGGGAATAGCGCCAGCATGTGCACGGCGCTCAGCCCCGCCGGCGGTTCACTGCACAGAGGGTCGATCTGGACGCCGCGACTTTGTTCGGCAGGGGTGGCCGCCGTCGCGAGGGCGTGCACACGGGCGAGGTAGGTGATGGACTCGAGCGAGGGCAGGTCGTGGGTCTGGAGCTTCATTCCCAGCAGCGACATGCCGCCGTCGTGCCTTGGGACCTCTGCAGGAGCTCCCTGCTCGCTTCCCCCACGAGTCTCGCTGCTGCCCAGGTTGCAGGTAGCGTAGAAGTTGTTCAGGACCTCCCCGGCACCGTACGAGATCAGCAAGTCTGCCAGGTCAAAGTACCGCCTGTCGACGGCGAGCCCCAGCGCGTCCATGACGCCAGCATCCTCGCCCCGGACGGCGACGCCCTTGAGGACCAGGTCCTCGGCGATGGCGATCCCGGCCGGCGTGTGCCCGGGACGCGCCGCGAACCACTGCAGCAGCGTCGCGCCCTGGTCGGCGTCGGCGTCGGCGGGGAAGGTCAGCGGCGAGCCACGGCCCGCGAGCAGGTGGTACGCAGGCTCGTTGTTAGCCGCCACGGCGTGCTGAATCGGCCGCCAGCCCGGCGAGCCCTCGACCGGGTGGCCGAGGTCCAGCAGCGCTTCCATCACGTCCAGGCCTGCGCCGCGCGACGCCGCCTCTGCGCACAGGCTCCGGCCCGAGGCGGGTGCGGCTTCGCTTCCTTGCTGCTGCGGCCGTCGCCGTCGCCGCCGGTCCCGTAGGATGCGCAGCGTTCGAGCCAGATCGGTCTTGTAGTCGACGCCGCACCGCACAAGGCGGCTCTGCATCAGGAGCGGGTCAAAGTTTGTAACCGTGCCCGCGTGCGCCGCTTCCAGAATGTCGTTCTCGTCCCAGTCCCAGTCCCGGTCCAAATCCGCTAGCGCCTTCTCCTCCCTCTCATCAACGGCCCGCAACAGCGTCTCCAGTATGTCGGGCAGCGTCAGCACGGCGGCCAGCTCGACGGGCGACTTTACGTGGGCGACGCGCTTGCCGTCCCCGTCGACGCTGCTGCGGCCCAGGGGGTCGGCGCCGCGGGCGAGCAGGACGCGCACGGCGGGGAGGCACTGCTGCAGGACGGCGCGGCCCAGGGGCGTGACGCGGAGGCCCAGGGCGTCCTGCCAGTCGGCCAGCACGGCGCGCACGTCCTGGCGCATGCCGCCCGAGACCTGCTCCAGGTCGGCGCCGGCGTCGAGAAGGCGGCCGGCGACGAGGGCCACGTCGTCCTCAGCGAGGTTGAAGAGGCAGTGCAGCGGCGCCTCCTCGACGTAGTTGGCCCCGCCCGTCGGGTCGGCGCCGCGGTCGAGCAGCAGCAGCGCGCACGGCACGTGGCCCGAGCGGACGGCGCACAGCAGCGGCGTCTCGGCGTGCGACTGGTTGCGCAGGTTGATGTCGCACTCGTACCGGTCCAGCATGTGCCGCAGCGCCGCCTCGGCGCCCATGGACGCCGCGAGGTGCAGGAGGCCGTGGCCCTTTTTGTTGACAAAGATTTGGTCGAAGCGGTGCTCGGGCGGCGTCCCTCCTCCTCCCTCGGCGGCTCCCTCGGCGGCTGCGGCTACGGCTGAGGCTGGGGCCTGTGGACGACGCAGGCACGAGCTGTAGTCGTCTCCTAGCTCTTTGATGATTTCGGCGTCGAGGGCGGCGATGCTCTCGACGTTCCAGGGCCGCCGCATCATGCGCGAGATGAAGACGGGCATGCCCGTGGACGCGGTGCTCCCGCGGTACAGCGACTCGGCCGACGCGATGGAACCGGTCCAGGAGAGCACCTCCTCGCGCGGGTGGCTTGCCTCGAGCGCGCGCAGGTCGGCCGAGCAGTGGCGGTGGCCGCGCACGATGCTCCACCACAGGTTGTCCTGCTGCAGGGCCGGGCTGAGCGGGTTGTCGATGCCGAGGGCGGCGTGCACGCGGTACACCCACGCCCGGGCCAGGTAGTCGACCGTGGCCGTCTCCTTGGCGGCGTCGGCGGCGGCCAGCAGCCAGCGGCACGCCGACGCGTGGTCGACCGGGGCGCCGAAGCCGACGAGGTAGCACTGGTACAGAAAGAAGGCGGCCGTCCAGGGCTGCAGCTCCGTCGTGGCCAGGTTAGAGTCGGCGGCGGCGGCGGCGACAAACTCGGCCAGGATGGTGCGCTGGTGGTCCCAGTCGAGCAGGGCGCCCAGCTTGACGGGGTCGAAGACGAAGCCGCCGCGCGAGGGGTGCGGCAGGTCCGGGCGGAAGCCGGGCAGGTTGTTCTGGGCGTCGTACTCGTCGCCCATGCGGCCCAGGCCGAAGCCGACGCCGTCCAGGGTCAGGCCGTGGCGGCCCGGGGTGGCGTTGCGGTCGTTCTCGGCGGTGCGGGCGTTGGCGGCGTCCTTGACGTGGACGTAGGCGTGGCTGGTCTGGGCGCTCATGCCGCGCATGCGGGCCTGGGCGCGGTCGAGGGCGCGGTGGGCCGGGTCGCCGCGCAGCGTGAACATGAGGGCCGCGACGACCAGGTGTAGGCTGGGGGCCGGCAGGCGGCGCTCGTGGAAGCGCGCCGATACGGTCGAGACGGCCCACTCGAGCACGGCGTCGGCCTCCTTGGCCTCGGCCATGGCCTTGCGCGCCTCGTCGCTCGGCCGCTGCCCGGGCGCCGGCATGGCCACGCCCACGCCGGCGAGACCAAACATGTCGTCGCAGTCGAGCATGCAGCGCCAGATGAGCATGCCGTACGAGTAGGCGTCCGTCTTCTTGACGCCCTCGACCGTCAGCCGGCTGCCGCCGTGCACCTCGGGCGCGTCCAGGGGGAAGGTGCTCGCGGGCACGTGGTGCTGGCCGTCGCCGTCGCCGTCGCCGTCGCCGGCCATGTCCATGACGGCGCCGCCAAAGTCGGCCAGCTTGGCCGTGTAGGGCTGGTCCGGCGGGTCCGGGTAGTGGTTGGCAAAGATTAGCACGTTCTCGTGCTTGAGGTCGCCGTGGACCACGCCGCACGCGTGCAGTATGGACAAGCCTTTGCCCACGTCGTAGCAGAGCTTCTGCTTGACGCCGAATGGCAGCGCCGGCCGCGCGCGCTGCAGGCCGTGCAGCGTCCCGAACTCGGCGAGCTCCACCACCAGCGTCGGGAACAGCGACCGCGACCCGTCCCAGCGTATGTCGAGCAGCCGCACCACGTTGGGGTGATAGCGCAGCGGCTGGTGCAGCAGCGCTCGGATCTCGAAGAGCGTGTCGCGCCACCGCCTGCCGCGCGCCGCCGCGTCCTCGGCGTCGGCTGTGCTGCCCTCGCGCGCCGTCTTGATGGCCACGTAGACGGGCCTGTTGTCGGCGCCCACCGGCCCGTCTACAAGTTTGGCCCGGTCCACCACAAAGGACGCGCCCTCCCCGATGCGCGTGCGGTCGGCCGTCACGAGCCTGCGCTTCCCGGCAAAGAAGCCCGACTGCTGCTCGCTCCGCAGGCTCTGCTCCAGGTAGGCCGTGTGGCAGATGAAGGTGGCCAGGCTGCTGCCCCGGGCTGCCTTGGCCGCATTCGAGGCTTCGGTTGTTGCCGACTTGATGGCGCCGCCAGCGTCGCTGCTGGTGGCGCTGACCAGCACGCCGCTGTTGCTGGACCCAGATGTCAGCGACGTAAAGGGCGAGAAGGCCGAAGGGTAGATGTAGGTGGTCGCCATCTTGGAGTCCCCATTGGCGTCCAGGAGACAGACAGCTCGAGGTCCTCCACGGCCATCGCGGGGTTGTTTTGTTTCTCGCGGGGTAGCCCAGCCTCAGCCGCACTTGCGTCTTGGACTGCCTCAGCTGTGGGAGGCCTCGATCTAGTAGGTGACGAAAATACCCAGGAGGGGAGGCCCGCTGCCGGCTCAGCCGCACGCTTGCGAATGAGGCAGAAGGGAGGGGGCAAAAAGCCCACACAGCCCCACAAGCCGCGACGACAATTCGACCTCCTTGAAAAGGGGGCTTCGGGAAGTCGTGCCTTGTGCCTGGCGCTGATGTATGCTTGACATTGGAACCGACGTCTTGGCAAGCCACATTGAATCCAGCCTAGAGAACCGCATCAATCGCAGCAACAATAGCAAAAATGGACCCAGGCATCTATCTATCCATTGCCGGCGTGGCCTTCCAGTCCGCCGTCTTCGCCGTCAAGGCGTTCCGCAAGGGCCTCAGCTTCAGCCGCGACGCCGAGCGCCTGGTGCTGCGGCTCGAGGTCGAGCGCTTCCGCCTGCAGATGTGGGGGGAGAACTGCGGCCTGGCCACCGTGCGCACCAGTAGGGAGGAGGCGGGAAGGGCAAAGGACGAGGGCGACAGCGGCGGCGGTGTGACCAAGACGAACCAGGAACGGCAGCAGCAGCATGACGGCATACTCCCACGGTTGCTGCCGCTGTGCGACGTCCTGCGCCACCAGCTCGACGACGTCGCGGCCCTGTTCCGGGAGCACGAGGCCCTGAGCGAGCGGTACGGCCTCGAGCCCACGACCGACGAGCCCACCAGGTCGGACAAGCTCGCCGAGCTGGTCGCCCGCATGCAGCGCTCGTTCCGGCGCAGTAGGCCCCGCGGCAGGGCGGCGGAGGAAAGGGGCGAGGACGAGGAAGAAGAGCCCGACACGGATGACGAGGACGAGGATCCCAAAGACGCCGCCGCCGCCGCCACCGAACCCGGTCGCACGCGCAGAACGACGAGCACGTGGAACAAGATCCGCTGGTCGGTGCTGGACCTGGCCAAGTTCGAGGCCCTGGTGGCCGAGCTGGCGGCGCACGTCACGCGCCTGAACCAGCTGCTGGCCGAGTCGACCTTCGGCCACCACCACCACCAACACCACCCGCCCCAGCCCGACGCCAACGACGTGCGCGTCAGCATCGTCGTCGTCGGCAGCGCCGTGGACCGCGAGTCCATCGACCTCGTCCGCTCCGCCGTCACCAGCGCCGCCGCCGCCGCCGCCTCCCCGGCCTCCGCCTCGGCCCTGCTGCGCTCTGGCATCGAGCGCAAGGCCATCTCGGCCGACCTGCCCGCCTCGTTGCTGCTGCCATCACCGCCACCACTGCTGCTCCCTCCACAGCCCACCACCGCCACCGCCGCCGCTGCTCGCGGCAGCCTGCGCCTCGCAGACTTTGCGCTGCCCGACAACTTTGCGCGCCTGTCGCGGTTCCTCGCCGAAAGAAAGGGCGGCGGCGGCGGCGGCGGCGGCCTGTTCCTGTTCGAGCGCAAGGACTTTGACCGCGACATCTCCCCCGACGACAAGCGGCGGCTGACGGAGCGCATCCGGCGCCTCGTCGTGCTGCTGGGCGGGCCGCGGGACCCGGCCCTCCTGACGCCGCGCGCCGAGGGCTGCATCCACGACGCCGAGCACTACTGCTGGTGGCTGGTCTTTTGCTTCACCGAGGACGACGACGGGACGCAGCAGCAGCAGCGTCGACAAAACCCGCCAACGACTGCCCTCACCCTCCCCCTCGACCGCCACCAGCCCATCTCCCTCCGCCTGCTCATCGACCCAAAGACCAAGTTCCGCCCGCCGCTCGAGCAGCGCTACGCCCTCGCCTCGGCGCTGGCCGGCACGCTCTCGGAGCTGTACCGGTCCAGCTGGCTGCACAAAGGCATCCGGAGCGACAACATCCTCTTCCAGCCCTCTTCTTCTCCGCCCTTCTCCTCCTCACCCACCACCACCCTCCCCCTCCCGCCCGACTTCCACCGCCGCCCCCTCCTCTGCGGCTTCGACTATACACGCCACGAGAGCGAGTGGGCCACCATCGACCGCGCCCGCCGCAGCCCCGACGTCGCCGCCGCCCTGTACCGCCACCCGGCCTACCAGGGCGCCGCCGCCCAGGGCTACTCCCTCCGCTACGACCTGTACTCGCTCGGGCTCGTGCTGCTCGAGGTCGCCCTGTGGGCGCCCCTGTCCAACTTTCTCGAGGGCAGGCCCGCCAGGGCAACGAGCAAGGTCGCCGCCACCGCCGCCAACGGGACAACAACAACAACAACAGCAAGGGCCGAAATAACGCTGTCCAAGGACATGAAGACCTTCCACGAGCCGCACGCCCGCCTGCTCCGCCGCCACGTCCTGCGCCACGTCGACGCCGAGCTCGCCTTCCGCGCCGGGTCGCCGTACCGCGCCGCCGTCGGCTACTGCCTCGGCGGGGACGACGACGACGCCGACGGTGCTGCTGCCGGTCGTGACGACGATCCCTGGTCCGTGCCGTCGGCCGCGGCGCACCCGGCCCTCGAGTTCTACGACCGCGTCGTCGTGCCCCTGGCCCGGCTGGCGAACGCTGCTGCCGCCAGCGCCTGAATTGTCGCATCTTTTTCTGGCTTCGGAGCGAGGGCTTTTGCTGTAGTCTATCTTTCCTTTCTTTCTTCACTCCCCGTGTGTTTAGCCTTCATTTCCCAGTCTTGAGAAAGCGGCCTTCTCGTTACCCGGCCAGATGTCTATTTCCCGAAACCCCTACCGTCGGGGATTGTGGTCAGTCTTCTTTATTTGTACAAGTGCTCTTCTTTCCAGATTAAACCGCGCGCCGTGGATATCCAAACATTTCCGGAATGGTCCGTCGTCTTTCTTGCTTTTCCGTCCCGTTTGTACAATTCCTCCTTCTATACCAGAGAAGCAAGCTATTGCGAATCCAGTCCAAATCAAAGCTCCAGATCTGGATCCACCTCGGTCCCCAGGTCCCTGTCCTCGAGGAACCGCCTGCCCAGCAGCGAGTCGGGCAGGTAGTCCTGTCGCACCCGCCCGTCCTTGTAGTTGGGGTTGTACTTGTACTCGGCGCCGTAGCCCATCTCGCGCATTAGGCGTGTGGGCGCGTTGCGGAGGTGTAGCGGGATGGGCAGCGCTGCCACGCCGGGCTCGCGAAGCGCCGCAAAGGCGTTGTTGAGCCCCCGGTACACCCGCGTCGACTTGGGCGCCAGGCACAGCGCCACCGTGGCGTGCGCGAGCGGGATGCGCGCCTCGGGGAGCCCAATCTGCTGCGCCGCCGTGTACGCCGCCGTCGCGAGCGGCAGGAGCGTGTTGTCGCCCAGCCCGACGTCCTCCGACGCCACCACGACGAGCCGCCGCGCGATGTAGAGCGGGTCCTCGCCCGACTGCAGCATGCGCGCCAGGTAGTAGAGCGCCGCGTCCGCGTCCGAGCCGCGGATCGACTTGTGGAAGGCCGAGATGCTATCGTAGTGCTGGTCGCCCGCCCGGTCGTAGACGAGCGTTTTGGTAAGCGCCGCTTTGACGTCGTCCTTTGTCAGCGGCGTAGGTGCCGCCTCTCCTGTTGCTGCTGCCGCTGCTGCTGCCTCCCCGTTTTTGGGCATTCGAGGTTGCACCGTGAGTGACATGGCGAGCTCGAGGAGGTTCAGCGCCGTGCGCGCGTCCCCGTCGGCAAAGTTGGCCAGGTATGCCAGCATCTCTTCGTCCATGAGGGGGCTGAGGGATGACTTTGGCGCAGCAGACTCTGCTGTCTCGTCTGCAGACCCATCGTCACGGACCTTTTGCTCCTCCTCTAATGCCCGACGCAGGATGCGCTGTATGTCCTCGCTCGTCAGCTTGGACAGTGTAAACGTGCGACAGCGCGAGAGCAGAGCGGCCTGGACCCGAAACGACGGGTTCTCGGTCGTGGCGCCGATTAGCGTGATGGTGCCCGCCTCGACGGGCTTGAGGAAGACGTCCTGCTGGGCCTTGTTGAAGCGGTGGATCTCGTCGCAAAAGATGATGGTCCGGCGGCCCGTCAGGCCCAGCTCCGAGGCGGCCTCGGCGAACAGCTTCTTGCACTCGTTGACGCCCGTCGACGTCGCGTTGAGCTCGACGAACCGCGACCCGACCTTGTGCGCGATGCAGCGCGCGATGGTCGTCTTGCCCGTGCCGGACCCTCCCCACATGATCATGCTGGGCACGCGGCCCGAGTCGATCAGCGACCGCAGCACGCCGCTCGGCCCGACCAGGTCCTGCCCAAACACCTCGTCCAGGCTGCGCGGGCGCATGCGCTCGGCCAGCGGCGCCGCTCGATCGGTCCTGGCCCGCTTGGCCGAGGGCCCCGTGTGTGATGCTGGTGCCGGTTGCGGCTTCTGCGGGGTGCCGTCGGGATTTTGCGTCTCGGTGGGTGAGCTGTGGCCGGGGCCCTCGTCGAAGCTCCTCTTTACGCCATTCGTTTTGGCTGCTGTTGCTGTTCTTGCTGCTGCCGTTGCGCCCGTGGCGGTCGAGCCGTTGCCGCGCGGTGTCGAGGGATTGGGGTTACCGTTGACGGCCTGGCGCTTGGCGGCCGGGGTCTGGAAGAAGCTGGAGGCGGTCCTCTTCTGCGTGCCCGACGGCGTGCCCGACGGGGCGACGTCTGCGGGTGGGGACGAGTTGCGGCCATCATCCTCGAGCAGGAACGTCTGGCAGCCCGAGTCGATGTGGTTGTTGATGCCGGCCGACTTGACGCTCCGGTTGCAGATGGGACACACGACCATGCTCCCGTCTAGCATATGCTCGGCCCTGGCTTGCAGATTTTCGATCTCGGCGTTGATGCGTTGGTGTTTCCGGTGCCAGCTTTGCTGTGACAAAGACACTGCCGATGACCGCTGCGGAATGGAGCCCGCGCAGGAACCATCAAGTTTTAGTGGATCCCTGCCCGACGCGAACCAGGGCCAGCGCAACCCCAGGTGACGCGCCGTTGCCGCTGTCACTTTATAGAGGAGGCACACGGGCCACTCAGCTCTTGTGTGGCGAATCGCTCCACTTGGCCGTCAAAAGTCGAGTTCCTTCTACAACGACTGGATGGGGTTGATTCCAAAGCAGCAATCAAGCCGTGTTGGATGAGTAATTTTCGCTATGGATTGTCGATAGACAGCACTAGTGTTCTAGGCAGCAGACCCTGCCTCCCTTCATCAAGACCCAACTGGATCCTTGACCTTCCAGAACTAGACCATTTGGCATGGCGATGGCAGATGACGTTGCAACAGATCATGGTTGGTAGTCTATTAGTTGGAGGTGATACCATATATCTCTATATCTACTGTAGCCACATGCTTGAACCGCCGACACCAAGAATTAATTCGAGTAGACCTTACACCATGAAGCTCTCGCCACAGCCACACTCCTCCTCTAGAAGAACAGACGGGTCACTGGTTAGCAAAGCTGCCATCAATCCCGTACTAGCCCAAGAAAAACTCACTGATGTTCGGGTTTCGAAACACAAAGCGCTGGCTCAGCTTGTCCTCGATCCAGTCCATCTCGCTCCCAATGATGCTGAACAACGCCTTGGAGTCGATCAGGACCCGCACCCCGTCCTGCTCCACTGTCTCGTCGAAGGCGCCCGGCTGGTCCACGTACTCGAGGTGGTACGCCAGCCCGCTGCAGCCCCGGTTCCGCACCCCGACCTTGATGAGCTTGGGGTCGGGCCCGTCCAGGAGCGCCCGTAGCTGCTCCACCGCCGCCGGCGTCAGCCGCATCGCCGCCTTGCGCGGCGCCCTCAGCCTCGATGGCCTCTTTGCCGCGCTGGGGAGGGGTTCCTGCGTGTTCGCTGGCGTGGTTTCCGTGGCCGTCGGTGCCGTCGCTGAGGTAGTGGACGTCGCGGGTGCGGCTTCTGATGGTGGTGCCGCCGCCGCCGCCGCGGGGGTCTGCGCCTCGGCCTCCGGGGCGATAGCCGGGCTGCTGCCGTCGCGGCCCTCGGGAGGCCTGGTGTCGTGGACGCGCGGGAGCGGCACTTCGATCGGCTTCGTTATCGAGGTCTCGGGGACGTCGGCGTTCCGCGGCCGTGCCGAGGGCTCATGGCTGGGCAGGGTATACGACTGGAAAGCAGCGGACGGGGTCGATGAGAAGTGGCGTCGTGAGCCTTGTAGTAGTATCCTGCGGCTGTTGTTGTTTTGGAGCTGTCTGCTCCTGCAGGAGAGGCAGACAAAAGCCGAGGCTCTCCTGGCGAGGAGGGCACCAGCCTTCATTTTGAGGGGAATTCCGCCGACTCGATGTGTTCTATGGTATTTCGGGTTGCTTCCAGCGTGTCGTGTGTCGTCGTGTGCTAAAAGCTCGAGCTTCGTCTTGGAGTCGTAGTCGGTATTTGCGCTGCTAGGAGGGACGTGTTGTTGAAGGTTGAAGGTCTGGAAGTGGCGACCCCCATATCCCAGACCGACCAAATCACATATTTTTGGTTGCAGCAGCCGATGACATGACGCCAAGCTGGGCTCACCCGAATTTGGCCGCGCACCAATCAGAGGCGAGCTAATTACCAGCACGGCTGACAATTGCGCAGTACCGGTAGCCGCTGGTGGGGCGACACCACGTTGTTTTCGGGCAGCACCGCTCGGCAGACCGAGGAGGTAACGGATCACTGGAATCGGCAGACAGCCCTGGAGCACAGCCTTACGTTTCTCAGCATCAATCATACAACAGACCCAAACTACTGCAATCGCATTACCCCGCTCCTCAACTCATCGCTGTCGAAACCTCAGATATATCCATGCTACCACCTACTGAAAACCTCTCATCGGCATCGATATCCCTACCCACTTCACCCCACCGCGGCGCTGACGTCGGCAACCGCCGCCCTGGCCATCTTCTTGAGCAGCCTCCGCTCGTCCGCCTCGCGGTACTTCTCCCAGCTGTCCAGCCCCTCCTTGGCCTGGATGCTCAACGTCTCGTACCCCTGCTTGATCACCTCGGCCACCTGCATTGTCGTGACGTTGCCCTTGGCGCCCCCCGCCCCCTCGGCGCCGCCGTTCTCCGCCAGCAGCCGTTTGTAGTGCGCGCTGACGCTGACCACCGTGCCGATGCTGCAGCTCGCCCGCGACGCAAGCTCGTACGTGGCCCGGAACTTGCTCAGCACCTCGCCCGACTCTACCACCTTGTAGAAGAGGTCGTCGTACGCCGCCGGTGTCGGTAGGAACGACTCTCCCGCCGTCAGGCCCAGTGCCAGCAGGTTGACCAGCAGGTCCAGCACCGTCTCCATCTGGGGCAGGTGCTTGAGGTCCGCCACGTACGTCGTCAGAAATCGAACCAGCGAGAGCAGCGACCGAAACAGCTCAGACCAGTGATACGTCAGTCGCGTGCGCGTGCGCGACACGTACGATATTATGCGCATCAGGATCCCCAGGCATAGCGCATACAGCGGCGCATCCAGTCGGCGCCGCAGGTTGTGGTTGATGCCGTCCACCATGACGTCCATGACTGCGGCGACAAGCGTCCGCGCCTCGCCACCACCCCGCGGCGGCCATGGGAGGTGCGGAGGTCGGTGGCGGCAAAGACGCACGGGCACCTGAGACTCGTCGCTGCACATGCGCCGGCACAGCACCGGATCCTCGACTAGCAACCGAAACACCATGAGGTTCAGGTGGCCGTAGAGCGTTGCCCTCTCAGTCAGGTATGCGTGCTGCATCAGGTATGATGTGAGTGATATGAAGCTTGCAAATGCCTGCTCCTCGTCCTTTTCCGCTGGCAGTGTCACCAAGTTGAAGCAGAAGAGCTTGTTGGCATGTGCAAAATCATAGGTGGCCAGGAGCATCGGCGCTTTTTGTCCAGGCCTAGATGCAAGGTTATTAGCCCGTGGTCAGGGGCGGTTGTACTTGCTCTCCAGTACAGGTCCAGGCGGCGCTCGAGTCTACTCACAAGACCGCAAACATCTTCTTGGCCGTTTCGGCATCATATGTCGGTTTTGCGGGCGGCTTCCCCCCTGGCGCCATAGCCCCCAGGCCGAGGAGGCTGAGAGCAGACGACAATGACCACCCCTCCGGGTGGTCCTCTTGGACATCGATGTAGTCGGCCCGCAAGGCCCTGCACCCGCTCCCAACACCGCCGATGATCTTCTGAATGGTCGCCTCGTTAACGAAGTCGTTGAGCCGCAGCTGGTAGGGGTTCTGGAACTCGAACTTGTTGTAGTTGGCCAGAAGACCAACCAGGCTAAACGGGGGGATCACATCGGGGGGTGATTCGATGTCGTGTATGAACTGGAGCAGTCAGCCGGCGTCCAGGGCCAATACGGGCTAGACCCGAGGTAATATACCTTCATTATGGCAGGGAAGAGGTCCCTTTGTATTAGATATGCCAGCAGGCTGGTCTGGTATGCACTCGATGTTACGGCGAGCGCAAGGTCAACCGCACCCTGCCTGGTGTCGACTGCCGTCTTGATCAGCTTGGATTCGAATATGACATGTCGCTTGAGCCCAGGACATACAGTCTTTCCCATTCCGTATCAGCCCCTCGAGGGCGCTCACAAAGTCAGTGAAGACTTGGTCGATCTGATCCAGCCCCGCAATCACGTCGATGATGTCCGATGTCGGGTTTGTAAACTTCTTGCCGACGACGGCCGTGAAGAACGTTGACAGCGTCTAGTCAAGATACGGGAGGGACATGTTAGCCTTCTTGCCCCGCCGCCTGGGCCTCTAGTCGGGTCCCTGTTCATAAAAGGGATTACGGGAAGGCGAGGGCGAGCGGCCTAACCTCCAGTGCGTGTACGTCTACCACACCTCTTGTCCCTCTCTTCAAGGCAGACACGGCCCTCGCGAACAGCTCCCTGGTCTGCTCCTCGCGCTCCAGCAGTTCGTCGGGGCCCATCTCATCCAGTATGAGGCGCAGCGACGCCCGGTCGGGCCGGAGCAGGAAGAACTCCTGCCAGAAGCCATCGGTGCCCGAGACATCCTCTTCGTCGTCGTCCTAGAAGCAGCATGGAGAGTGAGTGGATGGCGCGCGCGGGGTGCCCGGACTAGGCGTGCTAACCTTCAAGGTGCCAGGTCAGCAAGCGAGCGAGCAAGAAGGCGGGCGGCGACAGACGGGGGTGCCGTGACGCCGTGACTGCGAGGTGGGGGCGGGTTCGAACCTTGAAGAGATTCTCGTACAGTCGGACGATCTTGGGCTGGAAGGCCTCGGGGCGAGGCTGTTGGGTGAGGGGGGACTCCATGCAAGGCTTCTGGGGGCGGCCGTCGCGTGTTGCTGAGTCCTGGTCAATTTATTTGCCGGGCATGCCGCAGTGACCTGGCGTCGGAGCCGGCCATCGCCAGCCCATTGAACTCGCCCGCCACGATGGACGTGGGTGGGGTGACAAGTGCATGTGGTCCGTGCGTCAGCTTTGTTAGAAAATCGCTGGCAGGCCCAGCTGTGAGTGGACCAGTCCCTTCCGGCTGGAGACTTCAAGATCGTTGGACAATTATAAAAGTCTACGGGTCTGTCAAACTTCCTGAAAGGACAAAACGCTAGGAAAGTTTGAACACCTGGTTAGGTACGCAAAAGGATATTGATTTCGCGGCATAACAATCGCTAGGTTCAGGTCAGCTACAGCAATGAGATTTCAAGAGCTGAAGGGTTGAGAATGCACTATTATTATTATTTTCCAGTAAGATTTGCAAATCCCTTTCTCTACAGGTTACAATAAAAGCAGAACTTAGGCTTCTCAGCGTGGGCATGCAGGAGTCAGTCGGGTGCCGACAGATCTTCAGGACATTGAATGCCACCACCGTTGCCACGTCAGAATGAGCAAACGCCGCGGCTGCCTACCATCGTTCCTCCCCGAGCCATGGGCTGCTCCTTCCTCTTCCATAACAACGAGTGACTGCTAGCTAGCTTTTTCTCGCACACCATGGAATAGTGAAGGGTGAAAGTAAGGCATCCTTCTGAGAGACTGAAGATACCGAGAAGAAGAAAAGAAAAGCCCTGCCTTTCATCACCTACCACATCAAGACATCCAGTCAGTCGGCGAAATTCTCGGCCATCAGGCCTCGCCCAAATAGAACCACCAAGCACAACCATCCGCCCACCATGATCATCAACGTAACCTCGATTTACAAACTGAAAGTCCGGCCCTCACCTCGTGCGGCCCTCCTTCCTGCTCCAGATGTCCAAACTCCGGACCGCGACATGGCCTCGTTCGACCGGTACTTGAGCACGCTTCCCCACGAATTCCAGGAGCTCGCGGCGCACCTCAACCGTACCTCGGCCGATCTCCGCGAGGCCAGGACCGAAATCTGCGGCCTCTGGGCCCAGCTGTTCGTCTTCAACGTCATGATGGCCTGGCACGCCCAGCTCGCCGTCGGCCTCGGCACCGACGCCCACCGCCTCATAGAGCGGCAGCGGCAGTCCCTCTTCGGGGAGCGCATCCGGCACCTCGGCATGATCCAGGAGAGGCAGCAGCGCCTGCAGGCCATGCACGGCCTGACGGTCGCCCGGTTCCACACGCTTCTGCAGCGGTGGGAGGACGAGAAGTCCAAGATGGGAGCGCTGCGGAAGTCGCCCTAGACTGTCTCACCAATCACCCCATGCCGGGCGCCGCGGGTGTCTTTCGGCACTACCGGGAGAGGACTGGGAGAGGACTGGGAGAGGACTGGGAGAGGGCGGGGAGAGAGAAAAGAGAGAACTAAACCGCAGAAACAACCGAGTCCACCGAGGTTCATGGGTCTGAGTAGGCATGCATGCATGTATTGAGCTTGGGCTTGGGAGGAACACGAACCTAAATCAGGAGATCCATCGAGGGGGTTGGAACGGAAGGTCTTCACAGTCTATTCTAGCATGGGGAAGTGTCTAGGTAGTTGTGTCTTGTAAGCCTCCAACCCCAGACCAGAATGGCCGGGGCGATAGCCCGTCATTCGTTTCCAAGCTGCCTTCTGCACCTCTACCAGTGCCGCTTCTGGGCCAAGATAACGAACAGTGCCATGAGGATGATTTTGACGTCACCAGCAAGAATGACCGAGCCAAGCCTAGCCGATGACGAGGGACATTAGATACGGCTTGGTGTTTGGGAGGACCCAGTGCTTTCCCAAAGCAGTGCTGCAAATGTATCCAGCTGCGGAGGAGCACTGTCTTGAGGCGTGCACTGAGCGAATGCCTTTTCCTCAATTCCTCGAAATCTCGTCGAGATTAATGCGTAACATCGCCAACGCGGAGCGGTCAGGCTTCCTGTCACAAAACGGTATGGATGCAGATAGGGGACCGTTCCAATAGTCCGTGGGCGAACCCGAGGTCGGCGACACGTGGATGTGATGGGACCGTGACGTCTGTGGGAGGTGGCAGACAGGAGGTCCACGGGGCGCGGGGACGCTGCAGGCTCGGGCGTCGCTGGTCGGATCCTTGCGGCGGAGAATTGAATCCCAAGCAGCCCAAGACGCAAGAACAAGCAGTCTCAAGGGAGGAGATCCGGGATGCCCAGAAAGGAATCAAGCGAGAAAGCAGGCCGCGGTTGGGACATCACATCCACCGCACATCCGCTGCCGCCACATATACTAAAATTCCCCGTAGCAGCCCGCTGGATGCAACCCTCCCTGCCAATCTCGGTGGATGCCGGCGCCCGCGGGCTCGCCGTTGGGGTTGCGGTGGCGGGAAGGCTTGGAGCCAGCTGCAGTCCGGTACCAATATCATCCGGCTGGCGACGACGGACCGACATGGGCAGGCGGGCAGACAGGCATTTGCGCATCTGTGCATCACCCTTTTCAAATCCTTATCCTACTGCAGCAGCAGCAGCAGCAGCAGCAGCAAGGCCAGCTAGGGCCGGAGCTGGGGTGGGACAGATGGAGACTGACGGGTGTGGTGTCTCGGCTGGGGCTGCCGCGTCCTCTCACCGGTTGACCAAAGAGGTGCCGCGGCCGCCCGCCTCATTAGCTCGCGATAAGGTATGCGCCGGGAGAATTGGGCGGCCTGACGGTCGGTCTGGTGTGCCTGCTGCAGGCTACTCAAGCTATCGAGGCTCAATGCCAGCGCCGACCTGCATTTCTTTGACATTGACTGCAGGGCTGGGCATGCGCTGTAACAGAAGAGGGATGTGGAATGCGCCGAGGGCTCGAAGCTCTTGTCCCCTCTGGCGCGTCAGCACTTGTGCGGAAAAGAAAAGCCCCGACAGGACGGAAGTAGGAATCGGTCTCGGCGATTTTTTTTTTTTTAACGAGATGCATTGATTGGGATGCGCGTTCTTGTGAAGGCTGTCATGTGTGTGTCTGTCGGCTAGATGCTGCAACACAGACTTTTATCTGACCAGTTGCTGACGACGATGGGGATGGGAGGGAGGGCTGGCACGCTAGGTCACATGGAGGCCATTGATTTATTGATGGCGGCTGATAGATGCACAGCCATAGAGCGAACCACGATGAGTTGAGTAGTTGCAATTCTCACCTCGAGTCATGATACGTCCGGTTCGTGTTGCGTAGAATAAGGATGAGCAAAAAAAGAGAGAAAAAAGAAAAAAAAAGGACGAAATGAGGCCGGTGTCGTGTTGATTAGCATCAGCCCTGAACTGAATTAGAGCCTCATCTGATTGGGAGCCCAAGACACGAGCCTGTGCACGGGCACAAGGCCTTCAGGCTGGATGATCCCACTAAACACGAGCAGCGCGTCAATGCACAGCCGAGGAGGACCACCTGCAATAGTCCTGAGATGCAATGGCCTGAACTGCAATGGCCTAAACTGCAATGGCCTTGAGCAGGTCTCTTTGTTTGAACCTTGGAACAATGGGGCTTAGGGGGGGGGCCCACCTCGCGCCCACCACCCGCTCACGATGACGCCAGATATTGGCATGTGGGCAGCGGGCAATGCGACGACGACGACCTTGGCCCCGACTCTGGTGCTTGTCCCTCTTCAATACCCCAATTTTGCAGAAAGTCATCGCCATAAAAAGCGGGAGTGCCATGCGCGCCACGCCAACAAGCCCCACGGTTCTTGTTTGTTCCATGCCAGGCCTGTGGATTCACTGGATTGGTGGGCTGACGGTTGACGGCCGCCGTCGCGATGCCACCTCTGGGCTGGCACGCTGGGGAACCGGCACAATGTTGTAATGTTGGCTGGGCCTATTGGGGGTGCGCCAGGCCAGCTGCATATGGTATATGGGTCATCTGCAGGATGCGACGGTAGCAAACGGGTTGGTGGCGCCGCCAATCGACGAGACCTCCATCGCATTGCGTCCTTTGTGGATCCGCAGATGGAGGCTGACGAGATGACATGGAGCCCGGCGACACGAACAAATGGCAGGCCGCAAAACCTGGCCCAGATTACACTTTGCTGGGAAGGCGGCTGAGCAGGCCCGGCAGGATTCGAACATCTAGGCCGTTCGCTGCGTGGGACCTCGTCGGCCAATCCGCTGACGGCAGCCGCCTGGGACCGAAGGTTTCGGCAGATGAGCGCCGAGTAGGTTGTTTTATGCAATTCCACAAGCTCGCCGGTGACGGCCGCCACCGTTGGGACGCGAATCATCCCTCTTGTCCGAATCAAACTCTGCCTCTTTGCCTGCTGCTATTTTGGAAAACACACCAACCCTCATCCTGGTGGTGCAACATGCAAGACCCTGCCCGTCGCACCGCCGAAGGGCGGGCTCGCTGGGGCGAGAGAGGCCCGGCTAATAAAAACGCAATTCCAGCAAACGCCTGGGCATCCCAGCCCGGCCGCCATGTCTCGGCTCTGTGCCGCTGGCTGTGGGCACACGAGCGAGCCGGGGAACGACCAACCAGGGGCGGGCGTTACGGAGCACGCATGGCGCAAATCTGGGGAGGGAGTTTGAGTGCCTTGGGTGCTTGGCCGTAAACATGTGCGCGGATGGAGGGGATGTATCTGCCGGTACTCGGTAGGGCACCTCTTGCCAGAGCTACTGCACCGTGACGTTGCGGCTTTCTAGTTGGCGGTGCAGATATTACCTTAGCTGTAGATACCTGAAGAGACTCTCGCATTGATTAATTACTCCCGAGATAAGGATGCGAGTCGTTGGTCAAGGGGTGCAGGATGCGCTGGGTTGGGATAGGCGGGCCGAGAGGAGGGATGGACACCCGTTCTGCTTGTCTGTTATCAAACAGGTCCTGTCGGCCGCCTGTCTGCCTTCCCCTTGGGATCATAGGACAATCAATATTTGCTCGCTCCCGCGAAAACCCCCGTCGTGGTGTGGTGGGTGGATGGGTTCGATCTGGCGCTCCCGCACGTTTCCTATCCCATTTGTCCATGTTCGGCCGTTCCCCCCCTCAAAGTCAGCACCGCGGCGAACAGTCATCGCGTCGGCTGTTTGTTTGTTTGCTGTCTGTCACGTAGGTTGCCGTGCTCGAGTTGGCAAGCAAACATTGGACGAAGCGGGCGCTCAGCCTCGGCTACGGCCCCTAGAGTCAGTCAAACCAGGCAAGAAGACGAGAAGACGAGAAGACGAGACGACGACGGCGGCACTGCACACGCGCTCGCCAGGCACGGGCAGAGGTTTGTTTCGCCTGAGCTCAGGGCGCGCATCGCATGCCGAGTAGCGGTGCCTGGCCTTGCTCGAGCACTTGCGTCGTCGCATCGCGCCCAAGGCAAAACTCCACCTCGGCCACCGACCTGGGACCAGCAATGCTACCACCGAAGTCGCTCGTCAGTGCGGAAAACCCTGGCCAGGGCAACAGGAATAGCGCAGGAGAGAAAAAAGCAGCACCCACCGCCGGCTCCCTGCCCGCTGCCGCGACGAGCGCCTGCAACGTGGGCCCGCCTTTGTCTGGCCGTCTGGGTGGCATTGTTAGTCGCAGTCGAAGCAGCAAGAGAAGCAGCTTCTTTCGTATCCATGCAAGAAAAGCAACGACAGCGCCAGCACCAGAGCCAGCACCAGCGTCAGCTGCTGCACCGTCTGCACCTTCCCGGACCTCTGCAGCTCCTATCACGACCGCCGCCACAGGCACATCTGCATTCCTGACGACTATTGATGACGCCAAGCCGCGCGAGTCCCCCACGACCAACCGCGCCAGCCCGCCGCCGCCAACACACCGCGCCCGCCGTCCGCTGCTGACCTCGTGCCCGCCGCCGCCAGCAGAGTCGGAGACGGAGACGCCAGCAAAAAAAGCAAGAGCGACACAGTTGCTAGCCGAGCCAGCACTAGAAACAAGACGAAAAGCCGAAGAAGCAACTGCGACCAGGGTCAGGGTCCCCTCTGAAAATCCACCCGCTGCAGGGGCAGGCGCGACAAACCTGGCAGGTACTCCAGGTGCTCCAGCAGCTCCGGCCCATCAAATCGCCGCCGCTTCGCTGCCCTCGCTGGCCTCCACGGCTAAAACGCTGTTTCCCTCGTTGTCAGAAGCCGCCACTTGCGCACGCGACCCGCACCCACCACTCGACCCGTCCTCGCACTCTTCCTCGCTCCCGCAACAAAGCAGTACTCCTGGTGATGCCGACGACTGCCCCGGCGCCGTCGCGGGGGGTTATTTGACGATAGGAGCCCGGAACGCCGACCGAGATTATTTGCAGCGGATCCCACCACCAACACGACAGCAACCAGGCCAGCACGCGCCGCCGCGCATGAACATGGACCAAGGCAAAAGTGGCGCAAATAGGGGCGCCAGCACCTTGCCATCGCCGCCGCCTACACGAGCCACACACACACTGGCCTCTGCGGCCACCACGCCCGCACCACAAAGAGCCTTGCTTAACAGCGCAGACTTCCTTTCGAGCCCAAATTCCATTGTCTCGGCCACGCCGCCAAGCGCCTTCAGTCCCGCCCTCGCCTCGCCCTCGCCAGCGTCCACCTCGCCAGAGACCGACGCTCCATTTGACCCCATCGCCACGGCCAAGAAGCCTGCCAACGCCGACACCGACACTCGCTCGCTCTCTGCTGCCGACTCCCTCCCGAGACAAACTCCCCCCTCGGCCGCTGTAGATCCTGCCGGCCGCCAAGGGCCCAGCAGGGCGCCTGCTGCCGGCAACCTCAGCGACCTCAGCACCACGCTAAACCCCATTCCAGAGTCGGCTGCCATTACTCTCGAGGACTGCCAGCGCTCAATTCCAGCCCCGGCAACCCCAGCACAAGACGCTGGCACGAGCCCACCAGCGCCTGGCTCCGAGACCAGTGTAACAGACGACTGCAATCTCAGCCCGAGTCAAAGACCCCAGCTGGTCCGCCCCAAAGCTTCGCGGCCGCACCGTCTTGGCCAACTGACCGACGCCCCATCATCCCCTTTCACTGCGTCGCCGACCGCTATCACCCCGATCCGCGACCCCCTGAAATTCTCCAGCCTCTCACGCGCCTCCTCGACCCGCAGCGTCTGCAGCAACGCCCCGCTGCAACACCCGACCCCCGAACTCAACGCACGGTCTGGCGCCTACACGGGGAACATCGCCGCCCTCGAGGCCTCCGCCGAACGCCTGTCTATGACCTCGTCCATTGAGGACGCCATCCGTGACGCACACGCCCAGCTCAAACACTCCGACAGTCAGCGGTCGGTTGCACTAGCAAACAGCCTGAGGAACGTCGACGGGCCGTCGGCACCGCCCATCGTTACGCGGCAGCTCTCAATCGTCAGCCTCAACAGTGCCGCGCGCTCTGGCGGATACTCGCCCGGCGGCTACGTCATGTCACCAAACCACTCGCTCTCCAATTCGCGTCTGCGCTCCGCTAGCACTGCTAGCAAGGGCGGACTACCCGTGGTTGCTGGTGGCGTCATACCCGAGAATGGGGGTCCTGTCGAGGACCTCGTGCCCGCGATGCCGCCCATTATGCCTCGCCATGGCCCTGGCAAGAGCTCGGTCCGCAGTGTTAGATCCAGCAAGCTCTCGCTCGCAGAGATCGCCGAGGTGGAGCCGCCCGTCACTCTCACACATGACGCTCTAGACCAGGCCGACCGTCTCCCCGATTTCGATGACGAGGACGATGCAGTCCGTCCCGGCGTGCTGAGGGTCGCCAATATGGGGCCCGATCAGACCACACCAAACGCAAATCGCTGGGAAGAGACCACGTCCACAGCCCCCGGGGAGGCGTCCGACTATGCTTTTGGCCACTCGTCAGGGCAGCACCAACAGCCACCCAACAACCGCCCTAAATCCACCGACACGACCAACACGGTTGACCCGCAGAACGCCTTTGGCGACTTCGACGGCGTGCACTGCGACCCTGACCACGTCGACCACGTAGACTTTGGCACCCTCCCGCCCGTTGATTTTGGCCCGCAATACGGCCAGCCGGACGACCATTATGGCCAGCAACACCCACATGACTACTTGGGGCAGCCGCAGGGACACGAGCACCATTATGACCAACAGCACCAGGAGCCACCACCGGCTGCGCCACGGCCTCAGGGGCACCAAAGACATGGGTCAGAGCGGCCCAAATCGTACTTTGACATGAACACCGGCCAGGAGATGCTGTACTATCCTGCTCCGGTTCCGGCCATGCTCAACCTTCCCCCGAAGCTTTCGAAGAAGCCCAAGGTGGCGCAGAGGAATGCTCGCCAATCAAGAGTCCTCGAGGCCATGGCCCAACAAGGTCGCGACTCTCGCATCTGGCTTCCCGAAACACTCGAGACGGGAGACTTTGGCGGCTCGTTTATGGGTCCCGAGGGCAACGCTCCATCGCCCGAAAAGTCTCCCCTTGCTGACATTGACGCCAGCATGGCCCTGCCATCCGATCTCAACATGTCACAAGAGGCAGGAGCCCATACCCATGCTCCGGCGCCACACTATCCGCAGGAGCTCCGCCGGCCCGCAAAGCTAACCGATGCAGAGAAGCGAAAGTCTAAGATGTCGATGATGCCGGCCGACCTCCCGCCGCAGCTGCGGGCGTCGGCCTTTTTCGACCTCCCGTCGGCCAACACCACACCTATCGAGCTCAAGGACGGCTCAGCCATGAGCACGCTTGACAGCATCCTGGACGCCTCGGCTAAAGCCCCTGTTAGCGCTTTCACGGACCACACATTTGCTGGGAAATTGGGATCGGAGGTGTACGGGGCCGAGAAGAAGAAGAAGAAGAAGACCAAGAAGGCAGCGAACAACGCTTCCGGAAGCATCAAGGCGCCCGACAGTGACAAGGCCGGCAGCATGTCTACCGTGCGCGAGGACAACAAGACCCGAGCCTCGATCCTCGGACTTGTGGGCGTTGGCAAGCGTCACAGCAACGACTCTGGCGAGCGCTCTGGGCTGCCAGGGTCAGGGGGTAAGGACTCAGACCCGCCCACGGGCTCCCGAAGGGACGATCCGGCGGCTCTCGACGGCGGCCTCCTTTCCCCGAACTCAATGATGGCGCCGGACGACGACGAAAAGGCGTCTTCGGACGAGGAGGAGGATGAGGAGGACGAAGGCGAGGAGCTCTACCAGGGACCACCAACCACCCTGCTCGCAGAGCTCCAGATTCGGAAGCAGCGGGCCAAGATGCGCACTCAGCTGCCGGCGCAGGCCTACTCTCACGGCATGCACACGACATTGCTCGAGCTCGACGCCGTGGCCGAGGTGGAACGCAAGAACCGCAAGGGCAAGCGTGTGAACCTGGCGTGGGAAGATCCTGCCCTAGCACAGGATGATGAGGATGAAGACGAGGACGTGCCCCTGGCCTTCCTGCAGGCTGTTCGCGCCAACCCCAATGCCGACATCTCGGTCGCAGTCGCCGAGGTGCACCGCCCTCTGGGGTTGATGGAGCGGCGTGACCAGGAGGACAACGAGCCTCTCAGCCGCAGGCGTGATAGGCTACAGGGCTACGCTCCCGAAGTTCCCCAGGGTGTTTATCTGAACCAGGTCCAGCAGACGCGAGCGGCAAGTCAGATGGGCTTCGTGCCGTCCATGTCGGCCTTGAACCTGAGCTCCAACAACCTGCTGAACGGCCACAACCGCGGCATCTCGTCAGCGTCACGTCTAGGGCTGCATCAGCCGCCGCCATTGTCACCGCAGCATCCAGGTGACGGCCCTCAAGAGCCAGCAGAGGAGGAGATCGAGGACGAGCCGCTGGGCGACCGCATGCGACGGCTCAAGGCTCGTGACGACAAGGACAACCTGCTTCCCCTGGCCAGGCCTGTTAGCCGCGCCTTCTCTGTCGAGATTCTCAGCCAGCTCGGTGATCTGAATCACGACGAGGAGGCAGAAGCCGGCAAGAACAAGCGCAAGAGCGTCCTAACCAAGAGCAAGGAACCTCCAAAGACGGCCTCGTCGACTGGTGGCTCTTCCAAATCTGCAGCTGCCCCAGCAAAGGGAGGCGAAGTCGAGGAGACGCTTGGCCAGAGAAGAAGGCGGCTTCAAGCCGAAAGAGAGGCCCGCGAGCGCGAGATGGGCATTCTCGGAGGCGGCAACGGCAGCGGCCTGGATCTCTCGCTTGGCGCTGGTCTTGGCCTGTCTGGCAACGGCACCATGCAGCACTCGCGTGCGCCATCCAAGCCTATGGGCATGGCAGACATACTCGGCGCACACCCTCTAGAACGGCCCATGGGTACCATGGACCCGCGTGAGGCGGAGCGGCGCCGCATCGAGACCGAGGCAGAGCGGGCGCGCCTCGAGACGGAGGAGAAGATGCGGCGCATGCGGGCTGAGCTGGCGCAGATCGGCGGGACCGCCCCCGGCAGCTCTGGCCAGCCGCAGTCCACCATCAGGGCCGTGGGTGGCAACATGAGCAGGAGTATGGGCATGGGGCCCAGTTGGCAGATGGGTGGAAACGCCGCGGCTCCGAGCAATGGTTACGGCAATACCCAAGGCCTACTGCACCAACAACGGCCCGGACTGCAGCACCATATGGCGACTGGCAGCGTCAGCCATACGCAGATGCTGCAGCAGCGCCAGCTGCAACAGCAGTTCCAGCAGCCTGGCCTCAACGGCGGCCTCGTCGGCTCCGCTGGCAACTTTGGCCCCGAGGCCCAGCAGGCCCAACCTGGGCTCATGTACGGCGGAGCCCCGGCTGTCGGCGCCTATGGTGCCTATGGCGGCGCGGGCCCCATGCCTATGCCCATGCCCGTGCAGATGGGTATGCAGATGCCCATGCAGGTGCCCGGCCAGCAGACCGATATGGTTGAGCGCTGGAGGCAGGGCGTCATGCACTGATACCACCGGCTCTCGGCGCCTTCTACGCCAATAATTGCGGCACATCCCGTCTTTTAACGATTCACCACTACGATTTACTCATCAGCCACTGTTCTGGCTACGGGCGCCTAGGCACCTCTTCTCCTTTGTCGCTAGCGTTCATGTTGATGCATATAGAAAAGCATGGGAAGGGTTCTTATGCAGCTTACAATCTTTCAGCCCACTTCAAAAGAAAACGACGAAAACTCTTGGATAATCTTGGGTGCGGTCATTTTCGCCATTTTGTCTTGCGTTTCTTTTTCCTCATGGACATTATATTATATGCTTTAATCGCCCTTTGGCATTATGGTTTGACGGGAGTAGGCTTCTGGCCGATACGGAGCTATGCGCGGGGAAAGCCAGAAGGAACACATCTACTCACAAGCAACGCACGAAGAAGCTGAACAAGTAGAAAGACGTGGGTAAAGCGTAGTATAGCATTGGCGGAAGCGTTGTTGGCATGTCGCGATGGCGTTTTCGTCTGCTCGGGGCATTTCACTTTTTCTTTTATTTGCCTTGTTCACATATCAGCCAGCCATTATTATTTATTCCATTTAACCTTGGGATCAATAGCATCCATTTTCCATGCCCTTTTGGTGTACATTATCTCTTGGACCGCGTTACCCATTAATTTGCCCTGGCCAAGAAGCACTTGTGACTTGAACAGTCTGAGCTATGGAATTTCTCTCGCTACCCCTGCAGGCAAAGATGGATTTGCTGCCTTGTGATGTGTGTGCTCCTCCAACAGTGCTTGGGCGCTGAACTAGCGTTGGCCCTGGATGTGACGAGACTTGCTTGTTTGTGCTTGATGGTCTGGTCTGGTGCGAGGGGGTTTAGGAACAAAAAAAGTAAAAACAAAGCAAAAGAAGTTGCTAGCCGAAGCCAGCTGAGGATGTGGACGAACGGGGGATCGAACCCCGGACCTTTCGCAAGGTTTGTAATGCGGTGTGCATTGCAAAGCGAACGTGCTCCCACTACACCATACGCCCGACTGGTAACCATGGATTGAAGGCTGGGTTGGGCCTCCAAATGGTGGGGATATGTAGAGCTGATTCGTGTGGGGCCTGAAGGTTCATCTCAGGTGCGTGCCATGGAGAACAACCCCCCTTGTTTTTACAGGTACAGCGGAACTTTTTGGGTACGTTTTACATCGAGTGTTTATCTACCCTAGCTTTCTCAAACAAGCCAGGCAGCTTACATGCGTTCGGCTACTTTGGTGGCGATGAGTGGCATTACATCTCCCAGAAACACCCGGCCCAGTCGAAGAGTCTAGAAGGCGAGAGACTCGGGCATCATTATCATCAACAGGGACAATCTTGCTTGAACTCGGTCTTGCTTCCTTGCTATTCCCCCCTTGCAGAACCGCCGAGGGCGTAGGCTGGGTTGTGCCACTTGCGTCATTCGACCCTATCTCGCCCGTGATTTGCCTTCTCTTGTCCCCGGAGTGACACCTGGCGCCGTCTCGCTGCGTCCCCCGTGTATGACAGAGAGGCGCGTTCCGTTATACAGCGCGTTATTGTGGGAGCGGTGCTTGGGAGGAGTCATCTCAGCAACGAAATGTGGTAGGCTGGAGAGGTTCCCCAGCAATCTACCCCGTGCTGCCCAGCCCCAAATTGCCCTTCTGCGATGAGACACGGAAACCGTGCTCGAGGCCGTCCTTGTCAGCATCGAGGCCAACTTACCCGTGTGTTGCCCCACGACATGCGTTTCGGCAGCCTAATGTCCTCTTCCCCCGTCCTTCCGTTCCGTTGATGCCCTACTACGCGGCCGAGGGCTGATCGGGGTGGAGGGGGACGTGACACATGGGAAGGTCAAACGGGCAGGCTCGAGACACGCCGTCGACCTACGCGGCTCTGTAAATGGATAGGCGATCTGGGAGAAATGCCGTCGGGCGTTGGCTGGGCGGGGGCGCGCGGCCCAAGGGAGGTAAACGAAGAAAAAAATAAAAATAAATGCCGCATCGGGCAGACATGCACATAATCGACGTCGCGGGCGGATGCGTCGAAGCGGCCCAGCGGCCCGCCGACGAGCACACGCCATCGCCGTCGCCTGGCTGCCACCTCGAAAATGGACACCCCCCTAAGAGCCCCAAGCCGCAGGCGACTCTCGGCCGGAAGCGGGATGTACTTTCGGGTCAAGGACCCAAAAAGGGGGAGGCGGAAACGGTCTGGAACATGCGCACTGCGCGCACAGCATCGGTGCAGACCGACAAGGTGCGCGTTCCGGGCCACAACAGCCTCCCCTCCCCTGAGAATCTCGCATGCCACGTCGGGGCCAGGCTGTTGTGTTCCTTGGGTGAGTTGGCGGGCGCACCCAATCACGGATGCGGGGGAGACGGCGGCGGCGGCGGTCTGTCGTCTTCGGGCGGAGGCCAGGCGGACAGGGAGTTTTCCAAAACCCGGGGAAACGGTGAAGCCACCCTCCGGCGCGGGCTGGTTCGGGGTTGTTTGCTGGGGGCCACAAAAGACCACTGTCTGTAGAGAAGCAAGGTGCATGCCGTTTGTTTCTCTTACATAACTCGCCCCAAAGAAGGTTCTTGGAAATTGCCCCCTGTTGATCACGAACCACCCCCCGGCCATGAAACAAACACCACATGACTGCCGTTTCGCGATGCTATCTCGACTACTGAGACGAGCGGGCCGGAGTCGTATTTTTATTGAATCGCTACCGGCCGCCTGGAGGGGAAAAAAATGATCGCTTGGCTTGACAAGGCGCGCTAGGGCGACGCAGCCAAGCCCGGCCAGGCCCTCTCCCCCCTCCCGTCCTATTATTCATGAGCGTTCCAGATTAGGTAAGGGAACCAAAGGTAGATCCAGATGGATGCCCCTCTCATGACAGGAACATGGCTTGGGACCCAGGTAACCTCGCGCATCTCAACACCTGCAGTAGCGCAAGTGTTACGAAGTTGTTACGTCAGTGAGGGAAAGCAGGAGACGGAGTGCGTGGCACCTGATCAGCAACTCCTGCCGAGGTTTTGTCGATAACCCCTGAGCTCAGCGTCGTGAGGCGGTTGGCTCCGGATGCCATGCCAGAAAGCCAATCATGTGCAAAAGGCGGCCAATATAGTGGCCTCTCAGTTGTCAAGGCAGCGCGGCACCGAGCAGGGAGTCGACGTTTACCATCTTGTCAATGCCGGCGATGGGGCCTCTGGCCTTTGGAGCTCGTGCTCTCTCTCACCCATGCCCAAGTCGTATCCGGCTAGACGGCCGCAGTGTTGGCCAGGAGCGGGGAAGGGGAGTGCCGGCCAGCTCTGCGCTTTTCAGGATGCTACTCTCGTCACCCCCGGACCCCTGTCCACCAGGGCAGCTGACCACCCCATTCCGCGTCGACGGGGCAGAGAAACTTGTAGCAGGGATGCAGGACGCTGGAGAAGTCGTAGTCAAGGAAACCCATGATATGGGCAGATGATGGATCTATCGGGACGTTGCTGGCGTTTGACGTTGCGGACCAGCATACAAACAAGTCTGGCTAGGTAGATACCTTGTGTAGGTAGGTGTGCCGGCATTGAGGGGAGGGGTTCCCACGCATGTCCCCGTGCGCGCAATCACCCTCCTCTCACACTCTCTGCAAGCCCGGCGAACTGTGTAGGCAAGCTCACGTCGAGGAAGACACCAAGCCTGCTCCGGCACAACCGCCGGCTCGGCAGCTCTGGACATGGCGGGACTCTCCGTCCGCCAGCGCGGGCTTGGCGCGGAGCCCTTGACGGGTGTGCATAGGACCTTCCGGACGAGCCCCACGGGCCCGCCCCGACAGTGACCATAGGCGCGCTGACCAGCTCGCCGGATGCTAAGCCCGCCGCTGCCGCGGACCGAGGGCGGGGCGCGTGGTCGCGCAGGCCCTTGAGCAGCGCTGCCATCTACGCCACCAAGAGACATGGGCGACCCTAGGCAAAGACGAGGGGTACCCATGGGCGGGTCGATGTGGCGTAGGGTGGATGTCCATGACAGCGACCTCGTTCTCGACGCGCGTGGCGCAGAAAAACGTGGTAGACCAAGTCGTTGTATTCTGAACTGGAGACACGGCGGTGGTTGACCTGGATCCCTTGCTGTTGCTATTGTCATGTGCTTCCATGTTTTGGAAGGCTCATGTTCCAGCGTGGATTTCGTCATTTCCCAACAATCATTGGAAACGCCTCCATCCCTCCTACCATCAATCTAGCAGACAACCAACAGCCAAACTTGTTCTCGGGCTATGCAGGGCAGCCAGCCCACCAATCAGGACTTTCCTCAGGGCTTTTCTCAGGGTGGTACAGCATTGGACTTTGCCCTCGCAAGGGAGTGGATCAAATCCAAAGGAAATTCCACAATGAATGCTCTTCTCCCTTGTCTGATTTTCACTCGTTTCCTTTGGCTGCTACACCGAAGCACCAAAACGACAATCTAGCTTCCACCTCCTGCTGGGCCTACCGTGGTAACCATGATATGGGCTCAGGTCACGGCCCCTCTAAACTGCATATGTTGCATACGAAATGGTGTCGCCACTCCACAAAGAAACAAGCCAGAAAGGCAGACATGCATGCTGGAGCGGCTGTCAGTGCCCAAAGAATGGAGACACCCGCCGTTTCTTCACCGTTTAATCACTATTCCGGGTGGCGGGCGACAGTTGCGACAGTTTTGGTTGTCTACCCACCGAAGCCAAAAGACAGAAAAAAAAAGAGAAAAAAAACCCAAAAAAAACTGGACAAACGATCCAGACCGCCTCACCGAACAAGCGAAGGCCAAGGCGTGGCCCGCCCAACCACCCCGTGTCCAAACCGACATCTTTGCTAGTTTGGGCAGGGGCGGGCGGCCCATGGGGAAGGAAGAGGCCGCGGGCGCTTGGCGCTAAGGCGTTTACCGTGTGACCATCACGAGACGGCCATGTGCTGCGATGTGGCGTTGCGGCTTGGCTGGCGTTGGACAAAGAGAATCGAAAGCTGCTGTCAGCAGCACGGGGGAGAGAGAAAAAAAATAACCCAAGCATGCAACGCATATCTCGGGCGCGACGGAACAGGGAGGCTGAACGAGTCGGTGGAGAGATTCAATGACTGACGCCTTGTCCAAGCCATGACTGGTTGCCAATACGAAAAAAAAAAAAAAAGCTGGTCGCCAGTCGCCAGGCTGTCGATGCTGCTCGTCTGGATCGAATGCTCACCAAGGAAATCCGCCGATCGATCATCGGCGGCCAAGAGCAGTAAACGGAAGGGATGATGAAAAAGACGGGAGGCGGAGAGCGCAGTCAGCAAAAATCGACGTTGCACCCCAGCAGCACGCGTGGGCGAGCGGTGAGAAAAGTTGGGTCAGGGTGGGTGTGGCGGCAGGCGGCCGAGTGGCCCAGGCTGGGTGCGTGTGGGGGTAATTGATGGACAGTGCTGGCACCCCCGCGTGGGTCCAGTCTGGAAGCTCTGGGGCCACTTTCGAGAAGATCAAATCCATCAAATCCATTCCTCCTATTGGTCCATTTATTCCTATTGAACCATTAATCTTGGCCCGTGTCAGACTGCCCTTCCTGGTCGTGCTTCATCGCCGACGAGGAAGGCCATGACTGCTGGGCCGACAAGTGTGGCCTCCACAGCTCGCCAAAACCTGCAGGAAAACAAGAAGCTGAATTTGCGACTATCTAGCGCCGGGGCGGCCAGCCACTATCAGCTACCACCTACCACCACACAGTACATGCGTGCGTCCGAGTTCGGCCTGGACCTGACGCTGTGTATCCCCCACGCTGTTTTCATGTTTTCTTCCCTCACTGTTCAACCGTCTTGTCTCTGCCTGCCGCACATTATGCTGTGGAATCGTGACACCCGCAAAGATGGACATAATATGCGAGGCGAGATATACACCGGTTGCTGCTGCTCCAGTCCCACAACCCACTAGGCTGCCGCTTTAGGTGATTTGACGGCAATGCTAGATAGAGTCTGCAGCGTCAGAAGGGGCCACGCGGAACCGCCTCCTAGCCTTCCGGCTGGAGCATTTTGTTGGGCGCCTTGGTAGGGAACCCATGTTTGGGACGGACGTGGCGCCTGGTCCATTTTTGGCTGCTGGCTGCCGGCTAGTTGGTTCCCTATCAGTAAACACGAACAAGCTCCGTCCGAAGGCCGGTGTCCAAGGTACCTGGCACTCCTGAGCTGCAGACCGAGCCATGCCCGCCGAGACTGACAGACAGACCGACCGACACTGTGGTGGTGCAATACGACGAGAAAACCCTTTTCTTGGTCCTGACTCGGAAGAACCAAGAACATGAACCGTCCAAACGAGTTTGGCTACCAGCCTGTCATGCATTGCATATCCGACATTTGCTATCCGCCAGCGACGATAATACAATAATCCAACCCTATCACAAAGCAAGCACACGAGCAAGCACACAATCACCAGCCTCCAACCACCACTTCTCGGTACGTGGCGGGGCGGCTCTGGTGCAGGGGAAATTATGTGGAGGTGTGAAATTACCGGGCTGCTGTTTCTAGGCATGTTCCATTGCTACCGTGTAGGTAGGTACAATGTAGGTACAAGGTATGTACGCACTAGCAGATCAATAACCCGCCTCTGGGAGCAGCCGCCGTGGACAAAAAGAGGCAAACAGGTGCGTGGCCGTGCGTTGGCGATTGGACAATTGCAGCGCACGTCACCAGAAGGGCGGTATGCGTGCAGGAGCGGACGGCTGGGATCTCAGACGCTGAACCGAGCAGGAAGCGGGCACTGGCGGGCACTGGCGGGCACTGCGGGCTGCTTCCCACTTTGATTGTGGGCACACGACACTCCCACTCCGTGCTCCCCAACGGGCTGAATGACATCAATGGAGCAATGCCTGCGGGCAATGGGACCAAGTGCATTCCTGGGAATGGAAAGAGCGCCGGAATACGGAACCCGATACAGGGCAACGGCAGGGTGGAGCTGGGTGGGTGTGACATGCACCAGCAAATCAAGGTCGCCAACCGCCAGAAACGGCAGCGTCGAGTCCAGCTTGTGTCGCCGCATAGTGCGAGGTGCGATTTGTGCAAGCACGAGGCGGTGGAGGCTCGGCACGCAAGCCCTAGTGCAGCACGCATCTCAGCACTGTCCGGGTACCTCGCAGACACCACACTAGCCGCCACCACATTGAATCAGAGCCAAAAATCGAGGCCGTCAATCGGCGGGCACCCCACCTGTGCATGTCCGTTCTGGACCCTGGGTGAGCATCGCAGCCCTGCAAAGATCCGCAGCTCAACCCTGTGACCGCTGCTCGCCCCAGGCCACACTCGTCTCCCCACCTCCTCCCCTGCCCGCCAGCGAGCAACAGCCCACGACCGCCCTCAGAAGGGGGAGCAGCAAGCCCGTAGCCGACTCTCCGACACTCTGATCTCCCTCTCACCCCTTTCCACAAGATCCATTGCCCACCCGCCAAACAAAACCGAGGCAGAGGTGGTACGGTACAACAGGCCGCACACCCCGCCACGCCCTGGAGGTTTCCTCCTCCCCCGAGAACGCATCAGCGGGTTCCCCAAGACGTCCACCTGTGTTGCTGTTGCTGTTACTGTTGCTGCCGCCGTCAGGCACATCAGCCATACGCCCTCGCCCTCTCCTTTTTGTCTCTTTGTTGCGCCTCTCCCACGCCCCTTTAAATACACCGTCCATCTCGTCATTTTTCTTATGGTGGCGTGTGTGTCAAGCACCCACCAGGTCTCAGACCACCCCCAAGCGCAGCCAACCATAGCATCCACCACCGCACGCCGCCCAACACCTCACTCGTCTTCCACTGTAATCACCACTAGGGCTCTCTCACCAACACCTCCGCTGCCACCACCACCACTACAACACCGCCTCCACCGCTGTCATTCACCCATTGTCCTCCCTATTCGCCCTAGGGATCTCGGGGCCCTGACTTCAACAAAGCCACAGCCTACCATAGACGACCTCCAATCCATGGCGTCTCCAACCGAGGGGAAGCGGCGGTTCGCCCCCATCCCCATAGAAACGACCTTCGCGCAGTACCGCAAGCCCGGCAACCTGCCCGGCCCCGCCGCCGAGCTGACGCCAGACCCGTCGCCCGAGCCCTCGCCCACGTTCGCCCCGGCGCCCGTCCTGGTGTTCGAGCCCGCAGCCGCAGAGGCCTACACCACCGCTAGCTATGATGCGCCGCGTGACAAGAGGCGGTTCGCGCCGCAGCTTATCGACTCGTCGCGACGGTCCCGTCGCACCGGCGACGTCGGCCCGGCCACGCGGCCCATCGACAAGACCGACATCACCCCCTACCACAACCACATCTACTCCGTCCAGCGCACCAAGAAACGTCATAACAAGATCACAGGGCTCGCTAGGCGCGAGTCGTGTGACGAGGAGACGGCTGAACACATGTACAACCTAGCAAAGAAGGAGATCGAGAAGCGCCTGCAGGAGATAGCACTCTCTGCTTTCCCCAACAGCGGCCAGAGGATAGGCGGCGCCGAGCACTTCTTCGCCCGCGAGGGCTCCGACGACGGCGACGATGCCTCGGAAGACGCGGACCCCCGCGGCCGCCCCCAGGTCCGCCTTCTGGGCGCGCCCCGCCCCCGCCGCGACTCGACCGACGGGGACATAAGCTGGCACGTCAAGGAAGCACAGGACGCCGTGGGCCGCCGCGCTAGGAGTAGGATGGACACGCGCGAACTGGACGAGATGCAGCTCGACAGCCCGCCCACAGATACCATGTGGTTGACCTCGAGCCGTAAGGAGACCCCGAGTCCCCAGCCCTTCCAGCAGCGGGAGCGGGGGCCCATCGGCGAGACGCACATGCCCCTGATCAGCCAGAGCCCATTGGCCCCCATTGGCGAGTCCACCATGCCCTTGGTGCCCTCGTCGCCGCCCCCGATCAAGCCCATTGGCGAGTTTGTCATGCCCTTCATCCCTTCGGCCCCGCCGGGCAAGGCCGCCGACATGCCTTTTATCCCCGCCGAGACGGGCTTCTCCCGCCACGCCCCCGCACGCCCCTTTGGGTTTGGTGGCGGCTTCCGCCGCCCTGCCGAGCCCGACAGGAACCTGGAAGCGCTCCGGAAGCGCAGCCCGCCCATGCTGGGCGCCGACCTGACGTTCCGCAAGTGCCCCTCTCCCAAACACACCAAGCTCGAGCCCGAACACTTGTGGCAGTCCGAGGCGGACGAGACGAACCGCGATCCCACCGGCCAGCGGGGTCTGTGGAGGGGATACTGCTTCACTGCCGAGTCGGGTGAGGCGCTTGCCGAGATCCCGCGCATGGAGATGATATCCACCCCAAGCATCCCTAGCTCGTCGGCTACGGACCCCTTCTCCATCGCCTTTGGCACCACGGCCACTAGCATCTCGCCCCCGCTGAGTGAGGAGCCGGGCCAGCTGGAGGCGGCCCAGAAGTCGCCGTCAGGGACCCACTCTGCCGGGCCGCTGGCGTCGCTGCACGCGCACAAGCGCAGCGGCGAAGCCAAGGGCCTGCACATGCTCATGGGGTTCGAGGAGCGGCTGCGCAAGGAGAAGGCGGCCGTGGACCTGGAGGAGCAGATCCAGGCCGAGTTCAACGACCGCTACGTGACGCAGGTCTACAACTACCTGAGCCTGGGCTACCCAGCCATGGCGCGTTCCTACGACGACGAGCTGTCCAAGATCTCGCGCATCCCCCTTGCCGACCTGCAGCGCGACGACGACGCCCTTATGGATGGCGTCGTGGCGGTCGCCTGCGGTGGCAAGGCCAAGGGCCACATCAAGCTCACCGAGGACGACGACACCAAGGAGCAAGACCGGTGCCCGCGCTGGAAGGCTCTCAAGCTCTACATACACGAGTGGGCCAGCCAGCACCCGGACCTGGAGACCATCAGCCCCCTGGCTTGGGGAGTCAAGGAGAGGCGAGGCAGCTGGGGTATATAGCCCATTTGCTTGCGGATAGCCTACTGCTCAAGGTAGCTCGTCCTTGGCTCCTTCCAATTCTTGGCCTATTCAGCATTGCTATTATTCCCGACCCTCCCTTTTTGGCGACCCATCCAACATTTTCTTTCAATTCTCAACGAATAAGACGTCGAAAATTTGTCTACGACTGCATCCTGGCTTTTTGGGCTTCACGGCACGGCAAAACGTTATCCAAAAAGGGCTCTCGCTACCGATACCCATGGACATTTTTCATTTTCATTTGACGATACTTCGATGCTTTACGACGAAGGCACTGGGCCTGGTTACTCTGAATCCTCCTCTCAGGGTTTCATTCTGCTTCTCGTTAACTATACATTTTATTCGGTGGCGTTGATTTGGTGATTCATTTTATCCCGTTTCACATCCCTTGTCTCTGGGTCTGTGGGAAGTGACCCCCCTAAAAACTGTGAATATCCGTTCCCTTTTTTTCTGCTTTAAGAAGCCATCGCCATTACAGACAGCCTTCTGCCACGATATACGAGTTGTGATTTACCGTGGCGGCCAATCTTTTACTGCCGAGCCAGGCCCTCTTTATTATGACTTTTCTTTATGATTCTCATCCTTTGTCTTCTGCCTCGTTTGCTGCTTTTTGAGTATGGGGAATCTGGAGACCAAGAGAAAAGAAGGGGCGCGCTCTCGCCCCACAGTTGTTATTTTTACCCTAGGTGCCTGACGTATCGAAAGAGGAGGCGCGGGACAGAGAAGAGTCTAGACTAGAGCAAGAGCCTTTCTTCTGGTCATATACCATAGATTGATAAGACAGATGGATGGCAAAGAAGGAGGCTTGGGGTTTGTCCGTCTTTGCCTAGAAAGATGGGGCGTCGAACAAGGAAGCAGCCGTCGCCCGCCTGTGTAGGGCCTGTCTCATGATCGTTCCATCCCGCTATTGCCGCTGGGTTCAGTGACGGTGTTGGGGCTTATCTTGATTTTCGCCTTGTCGTTCTGATGCAGGACAATGCGACTTGGTGATGATGGTCATGTCTGATGATAACACATTTCGTGACGTTTGGCAACCCCTTTTCACACATGTTTTGCTTCTGATCGCAGTCCGACAAGCAAAAATGTCCAATAGCCAGCCAGCCCTATTCAACCACCGAGGTGTAGAGAAATGAGAGAGAAAAAAAGACGCAACAACATTCATGCCTCGACCTTGAGGTCCTCCAGCACCTGCCTCTTGACAATCTCCCTCACGGCCTCCCACTCGGGCGCCACCTCGATGGCGCGCCTCTCCCTCTGCGCGAGCCCGACAAACTCCTCGGGCAGCACGCCGCGCGCAAAGTCGAAGCCCTCCTCCCCTCCTAGCGCCTGCTCGACGGCGCCCGAGAATTTTGCCGGGTGCGCCGTGGCGAGCGAGATGTGGCGGGTGCCCCGGGGGGCGCGGGCGGCCGAGCGGCGGGCGGCGCCGAAGCCGACGGCCGAGTGCGGGTCGAGCACGTAGCGCGTCTTGCGGTACACGTCGGCTATGGTGGCCAGCGTCTCGGCGTCGCTGACGCGGTCGCTCTCGAAGACGGCGCGGCCGTTGGCCAGGATCTCGGCGTGCACGGGGCCGAAGCCGCCCGTGGCCTTGAGGGACTTGAACCACGCCAGCACCTCCTGGCCGGCCTGCTTCTTGTTGAACTCGTCGTTGAGGCCGGCCGTTGCGGCGAACTCTGTTTTTTGTTTTTTTTTGTCGCGTGTAAGCGGTGGGTGGGGGAGGGGGAATCGATGCGGACAGAGAGTGAGAACAAGGAGGGGAAAAAAAAAGGAGACATACCCTTGGCGAGGAACCACAACAGGCGCTCGAAATTGCTCGACACCAGAATGTCCATGGCCGGGCTGAGCGTCTCCTTGCAGCCCTCCTCGTGCGCCTTGGCCCCGTCGGCCGCGATGCCGCCCTCGGCCTCGGCGCCCTGCGCCGGCTTCTTCTCGTACCTGCCCGTCTTCCAGAACCGGTCCAGGATGTCATTTTCGTTTGTCGCCACTGAAGATCGCAGTCAGCTGCCATAAACCAAAAGAAAAAGAAAAAAAAAGAAGAAAAAAATCCCGTCCAGAGGGAAAGAGCAAGAGAGATATCAACGCACCAACCAGCTTATCCACCGGCAGGCCCATCTTTTGCGCAAAGTAGCCGGCCAGAATGTTGCCAAAGTTGCCTGTGGGCGTGACGAAGCGGACCTTGTCGCCCACCTTGAAGCCGGCGTCGGCGCGCGCGAGGGCAAAGTACGAGTGGAAGTAGTAGACGATCTGGGCCAGGATGCGGGACCAGTTGATCGAGTTGACGGCGCCGAGCCGCAGCGCCGCGTTGGCGTCGGCGTCGCCGAACAGCGCCTTGACGATGTCCTGGCAGTCGTCAAAGGTGCCCGCGACGGCCAGGTTGTGCACGTTCGCGTCGAGCACCGTCGTCATCTGCGCCTCCTGCACGGGGCTGACGCGCCCCTTGGGGTGCAGGATGAAGACGGACACGTCCTTCTTGCCGCGCAGGCCGCAGATGGCCGCCGACCCCGTGTCGCCGCTCGTCGCGCCCACCACGGTCAGGTGGTGCCTGTCGGCGCCGGCTTTCCCTTCGTTCTTGCGCGTCAAAAAGTACTCGAACAGGTTGCCGAGGAACTGCAGCGCGCAGTCCTTGAACGAGTAGCTGGGCCCGTGGAAGAGCTCCAGCAGGTGCGTGTCGTCCTCGATGCGCACCAGCGGCGCCACCTCGGCCGCGCGAAAAGTCGAGTAGCTCCGCTCGACGAGGGCGCGCAGGTCCGCCGTCGGCACCTCGGCGGGCGAGATGTAGAGGCCCAGGACGCGGACGGCGAGCTCGGTGTAGGGGAGGTCCTTCCAGCTTTGCTGCGCGTGGGGGAGGGTTTGTCATGTCTGTTAGCCCCTGCCCTGGGGACATGTGCCTTTCCGTCCCTCGCTCTGGGAACCGCCGACGTACCCAATCTGTGGCAAGGGGCACCTCCTCGGGCAGAAAGAGCCCGCCGTCGGCGGCGAGGCCCTTGAGCACGACCGTCTCGAAGGTGAGCTATGGGTCCGGGACGGTGCATGTTAGCGTCGACAGACGGGCATCTCGGGCAGCAACTGCAGGAATTCGGCAGCAATTCATATTCATACGCCATAGTCGTCGCCCCTGGTCGACAGATATGTCTGCGACGGGGTGTGCGTCGCCGCCGTCGCGCCGTTTGTCGTGCCGTTTTCCATTGTGGTGTTTTGTTCCGAAGCTGTTGTCCGACTCCTACAGTACCAGTACCGGCCCCTATTCTAATCCCAATCGACGCCCTTCTCAGTGGTCGCGTCTTCAGCCCAGAGACTTTTTTGTCGAGTCACCACCCCGCTCTTCCGAGATCGGCGAGCAGTAGGCGGTGGAGCCGCTTAACTTCCAATACGGGCGGATGGATTGACAGGGGTCCACCTCTTTTCTGGGCGTTAGCTGCACGTAATACTGTGTAACATGTTTCCAGAAGTCGACACCAGGAATGTCCAATACACGACAAGGCTTTGCCACGCCCGAGACTCTCGTGGCCAACAGGTGGATCGGGTTTCGTGTGACTTGCGTCCTTTTATGACCGACATGCCTTGCAAACAACCTGTGCAAAGTGCTCTTCTTTCTAGTCATGTGTTGTGGGTGCATTTATTTATCCCCAGCAGCATTCCACATACAAGGCAGACAGGGCAACACGGGAAACAAAAAACACACTGGCGTGCTGTCCCAAAAAGAACCGCCTTGCCAAATCACCACCCGAGGAAGACACCCCCATTCCCATCAAGCTCCCAGCCCCAGGCCCCAATCCGTCCCCCACTTGGTCGGCGGGTCAAGACGACAAAAAGCCGCAGAGGTCATCAACCCTCGACCCACACTCCCACCTCCACCTTCATCATAAACTCGCCCACCATCCCGTCAGCTATCAATCAGCTCAGGGCGAATGGTTTAGGGGTATAACGTTCGCTTCGCACTGTGCCACAAGCACGACGTCGATTGCGAAAGGTCCGGGGTTCGATTCCCCGTTTGTCCAATGTTTTGGTTGCGAGATGCTCGCATCCATGGTGGTGATAGCTTCCTTCTTCCTCTCCTTCTTTTTTCACCCCTTTTTGCCGACCGTGGAAAAGGGGGACAGGACTTATGGGGGGTTTTTTTTCTTTTATAATTGCAGTGGTTTGCAGATATGAATATTGACTGTTTCGTCCGCAGGTACTAGATACTTTACAAAACTTACGATACTTTGTTTTGGTATAGCGTTATTGTGCATTTCAAATTTCATCCTTGATCTGTATTTAGTAGCTGAACAGCTCGACGATCCGCTTCTTCCTGCTATACCTGTCGCCGTTCTCCCGTGATAACCTTGTGATTTACGATACGCTCACGTCAATGTATCAGATCGTTAGAGCTCGCAATGATTAGATAGGTCTTCTTTGGTTTATGCAACAAATCGTAGGAACCTGCAAGCGACAGGAAAACACCCAACCGCAAGCAAGAAATAGGAACCAAAAAGGGTAGCATCTAACATAGGTCTGCGCCCTTGCCTGCCTTCTTACCCTCTGCTCTCAGCTAGAAATGAGCGGGTTGGGTGATCAACGGCACCAACTGCCTACAAACTCTCGCGCCAGCGCTCTGGCTGCCGGTTGCATCCAGGCGACATTAGATGGGAGCTGGATAGTGTGACCAAAGGGCAGACCCGGTGAGCAGACGGGAAACCTAAAAATGAGATGCAGCTGATGAAGTAGAATTTCCCGCTTTACACTGCTTCTATCAAGCCCCGACATGTTCGTCTGCTAAAGTCTTCGAACCCTATTTACAAGTCAGCACCTAGCTTGCGTCTGCTGCCCATAACATGGCCAGTGACATGTCGGCATAACAAGCATCAACAACACGATGCTTCAAAATACAACACGAAGCCGAGGCTTCTATTCATGCGCGTCTAGTGCTACACTCTTCGTCTATCGCCTTTTTGGAAGTTTGTCTGATGTCTTCTGCACCTTGGCTGGCGGTGCGGCCTCGACCTCGCTCTCGTCATCGCCCGATTCGTCCACGTCGTCAAAGTCCACCTCATCATCGTCCAGCGACTCCTCGACGGCATCTCCCCGCTGGTAGTCGTCCGCGTCGTCTTCGTCGTCCTCGTCGTCGTCCGAATCCGAGTCAACCCCGTTGATGGCAGAGATGTCGAACTGGTCGTCGGCACCGAAGCCCTCGACGCCGCCCTTAGTCGCGTCCTCCTGCCCCTCCACGTAGACCACGTTCCTATCGTCCTCAGCGTCGGCCTCGTCCTCGTCGCCGAAACCAAGATACCCGGCGGCGCCGTTGGGTGCGCCGGCACCATGTCGGCCGGCACCGGCGCTCCGGCGCAGCTGCATCTGCGCCTCCAGCATGTCCAGCTTGCCCTTGAGGACGAGCAGGCTGTTGAGCCCCCTGGCGCGCTCCTCGAGCACGCGGTTGAGCTCGCCGAGCTTGCGCTGCAGGTCGGGCTGGGCGGCCAGGGCGCCGCCGTGCGCGATGAGGGTCCACTGGATCCAGCCGAGCAGGGTCGAGGCGCGGCCGGGGCGCCGGTGCAGCCTCGACGCGAGGCGCGTGAGCAGCGCCTCGGCGAGCGAGCTGTCGAGGCGCTGGACCGTGGCGCGCACCACGTTCAGGTCCGTGGTCTGCAGGCACGACTCGAGGAGCTCCGTGTCGTCGGACCGGAGCGCCTGCGTCAGCACCGTGCCGAGAGACTGCAGCGACGGCGGCGCGAGCGCCTGGGGCGCGGCGAGGGCGACCGAGGACCCCGGTGTCTGCGCCTGCTGCTGCTGCTGGTTCAGCTGGGCCTGCACGTCGACTATCCGGCTGCGGGCGAGCTCGCCAAAGGTCGGGGACTGGGGCTCCGAGTCTGAGGCCGAAGGGTCGTCCGCGGTGGAGCGCTTCGCATCGGCGGCGGCGTCTCCATTGGGCAGCTTGGATTTTGCGCTCGATTTCGGCGGCCTCCCGGTGGTGGTCTCTAGGGTTTGTGATGCTGGCGCTGCTGTCTTGGGGTTTGCCGTTGCTTTATTCTCCTCGCCATCGTCGTCTGAGGCATCGTCGTCGCTGCTCGAATCGCTGGGTATTTCCACTATTTCATGCGCAGGAATGCCTCGGTCCGAGACCGACTTGCCGGCTGATACCAGAGTCCTGGACTGGTCCAGTCTTGACTTGAGCGCCGGCTTCGCGCCCTGCTTGATCGCCGGCGCCGCCAGCTTGGTCGGCGTTTTCCTCTTGGTGGACATTGTGCGAGGTCGGAAGGCGCGTCCTACTTGGACGGCCGTTGGCTGATAGGAGGTGTGATTGAAAGCAAGAAGGAAAAGAGGAAGTCACGGCCCTTTCTGAATCCAGTGTTTGCAATTGGTCTGGACTGATTCCGTGGTTTGCTTGGCCTTCCCGGGTGGAAATTTTTATCGCGGCAGCGGACAGCTACTTTCCTGCTGCACCCCGTCGAAACTTTTTTCTGCCCGCCTTTTCCTGGAGTTGGCTCCACAAAAAAAAGACAGTCGGCATGGCGGGACGGAGGTCGGCGGTCGGACGTGGGAGGGGGTGGACAGTGCGCAGGCAGGAGGTTGAAGGGCTGTGTGAAATAGACGCCAGTCGCACGTGATAAAATTTGGCTGTTCTGTCCAGGTGTGCCCAAATGAAAAGACACTACCGGCTATTGATCAGTGTAACCCAAAGCTCTAATCTCTGCCATTGAAATATCTTCCATACTTTCTTGACAATACTTATACCTTACCAATGACACGCGCCCCGATCACCTGGCATGTCACAAGCCTCCGCCTTCGTCCCATCTCTGGTCGGAACCGTTGAGTCATCCATCTGCTAAACGACCGGGAGTTGTTGATGCCACAGAGGCGATCAAAGGGCTGTGGCTGTGCCCGAGTTTCCCGGTTGGCAGAGTGGATGCTCATTGGGCCGGAATCTTGCTGGCAGCCTGGAGAGGCCACAGATCAAGATGTGCTGATTGGGCAGGCTGTGTGGTTGCGCCAGGACGGTCCGGCTGGGAGCTTGCCTTCCCAATTTCCAGAGCGGCCTCTGTGTCCCTTGCCCACACGTCTCAGTGCGCCCCACACGCCCCTCCGCCATTGGACGGCTCACCCACTCCTGCAGGTGACAACCCTGCTAGTCCGCATCTCGTGTGAGGAAACCATGAAAAAAAGCTACCGCAACCGCGACTTGGACGGATTCTACAAATAAGAAGTGGCCCCGAATCCAAAAAATTCGCCATTTTGCTTGCAAAAAGTCCTGATTTCCCTCCTTTGCCTCCCACCCCCTTTGGAGCCTCAGGCACGAACCCACGGAAATCCCCTCCCGGCCAACCACAGACCAGCCTCTCGCCCTTGCCAAACAGACCCTTCCTAGCTCGGTCTAGGCACCGCGCGTCGCTTTTTCAATTTGCGACACGCCCGGAGCAAGCTCGACGCGCCACGCGCCTGTGTCAGTTTTCACTTTTTTGAAGCTCTCACAAAGTCACTCTTTGCTTTTTGGCGTCGGGGTGCACTCCACCACATTGCACATTGGCGCATCGCATCGCATCCCACTGCCTCGCCATTTGCGATTCGCGCCACTCATCAACGCAAAACGAAACCTTTCTGTACCTGCTGGGCTAAAGCCTTTGGTTTATCCGTATCTGTTGGTAAGCCATATGTTTATTTTGTTATGAAGCCCGTATAAAAGTTCCTTTCTTGTTTTCATCCCCGTGCACAAGAGCGCATCCTCCGCTTGCCTCGAATCCTTTCGCTCAGTCGTCGCACGTTCCCGATTTCTCTCGTTTGTTTTTGCGTACCATCCCTCCCGAACTGTCAAAACACCCGCGCCGCTCGTCTCCTGCAACCCTCGCCGCAAGTTTTCGTCGAGTGTTGGTGAAAACCCAAGCCATCGCAGCTAGACACTCTCCCAAAGGGCGGTCAATGTGCTCCTTAGAGAGGTCGTTTGCGCTGGATGGCGCATGGGCAAGTCGGGCACAATGTGGGTGCAACCTGCCGCCATGGTGATTTCGGCGCGTGCGGTGCTTCTGGGTTGCATGATGCGGCAGTGGAACTGCGACCTCCCCCGTTTTGAGCAGCAGCGAGGCAAGCGCACGGGCCACCACCACGTCCCCCCTCCACTCCGCGCCCGACAGCTCTAGGAGCTCCTCGCTCAGCTCGGACCCGCGAATTAAATACCCACCGTCGCCCGTTGCGATAACTGACTCTGTGTCCTCTCGCTTAGATCCAGCAAAGGCGGGAGCGAACGTCCCCCATTTCCACCTTGTCGCACCGATCGCATCGCGACTGTCGCCGCATCTTCGCGCCGGTTGATTCTGCTCGTTTATTGCTGGCGATCGTTGGCGTGAGGTGAGCAAGCCCTTGCAGACCTGAGCTTCTGATTCAACACCACCCAGCCACCGCGAATCTCGACGCGGGCCCAGAACCCACCTCAACCTACGCCTTTCCCGCGCGCGCAACCACTTCCCGCAATAAGCCAGTCGTCAACCGCTGGCGCCGAGACGCAAACGAGAAGACCGTCTTTACTAACTCATCCTGCCGATTCATTGGCGCAGATTGCTGCAGCTCACTTTCTAATCACATCGCTCATCACTTTGCGCCGCTTCCCGCCACCGCGGCCCTCGGCACTTTGCGCTCACCAGCGCCCTCACCGCTATTCTTCTCTGGATCAACTCTACCTTCCCGATCCGCTCGACTGCCCGCGATCAAATCTCGCCGCCGCCGCAACTAGGCGCAAACTTGATCTTGCAGGTTTCCGTCGCCACCTTTGATGTCGCCCCATCCAGAGTAGACTGTTCATTTGATATCTCGAATGGCAGTCATGACCTCACCGCAGCAGTCGACACCGACTCTTGTCGAGCAGAAGGCCGCCGTCAAAATGGCGACGATCCCAGATGCAAAGCGCGAGGAGGAGAATGGGGTCAATGGGTAAGTCGCGTCGCATGCGATATTTCCTCGGCGACTTCCCTACCAGACAGGCCTCACATGTATCATCCTGCTAACCATCGCAGACACGTGTCGCTGTCTCCGAATGGTGTAAAGCCCGCAGGTGCCGAGGCCCCACCCCCAACAAAGGCAACATCGCCGACTGCGCCCGAGGATGCGCCCGATTCAGCGACAGAAGCCCAAAAGGGCGACACCATCGCGTCCGATCCCCCGGCTGAAGAGAGCGCCAACCCCGCCACCGAAAGCGCGCCATCCGGCGCATCCGATGAGAAGGACAAGCAGGCTTCAGAGCCCCGAGATGAGCCACCCGCTCCGGCCGCGAAACCCGATGAGCCCCGAAGGACGCTGTTCCACCAGAGGAAGGTCGAGACTCGGAGATGGCAGATGCGCCTATCGACCAACCCTCGGCGGACACCTCGGCGGACAAGCCCGCATCGAATCAGGCAAGTCCTGGCCGAGATGTCGATGCGACGCCGGCCGCCGATCCTGCACCTACCGCCGCACCAGCAGAGAGCACAGCGGAAACCGTAGCCGAGCCAAAGCCTCAGCCACCAAGCTTGTCCGACCTGGCAATCGAGTCGCAAAAGTCGGCCGAGACAGCTGACATCAACATGGCCGACGCCGACGCCCCTTTGTCATCTTCATCCAAGGTGTCTAGGGAACGCGATGAGGACCCGAGTGATGAGCCGGCTGCCAAACGAGCGAGGACGGAACCGACCGAGGCCGAGATCGAGGCCGAAGCCCCTCCCAAACCCGAGGCCGACGCTCAAGCTTCAGTCGAGACCGAACCTGCGCCTGCTCCCCAGGCGGATATCACCTCCATGAAAGCCGGGCCCGACCCTATGGAGGTGGATGACGCTGGCTTTGGGCTTGACCTGATCCCGCCGTATCCAGATGCTGAGCCGGGGAATTTGATGCACCCCGGCGCAGACCATCTGCCCATTCAAGAGGTCTCTGTTAGGGCAATCAAAACTGTCCTGTCCGGTGTCAAGAAGACGAAGGCTGGTGCCAATTTCAAAGACTCCGTCGCGGCCCTTTGGCCTACATTGGCAGAGTCCTACAGTGCCAAGGTGACGAATCCTATGGATATCAGTTTGATGGAGCGCAAGCTGCGGGCATCGGCCTACGCTACCTTGGGCGACTTCAAAGCCGACGTGAAGCTACTCGTCACCAATTCTGTCGCTTTCAACGGTGCTATCCACGGAGTCACCGAGAGTGCCGTGTCCGTGGTGGAGAATATCTGGGACCGGATGCACAAAGCCAAGGTTGAGGAGCCCTTCAAAACGCACAAGAAGGACAAGTCGGCGAACATCAGACACACCGAGCGTTCTGCAGCAGCCCACCAACCCCGCCCGAAGCCCACGCCAACACCGGCATACGTTGCACCAACAGTTCCTGCCGTGTCCGCGAGTCCTACCCCTGCTCCATCCAAGCCTGCTGTTGATAAAGCTCTGTCATCCAAGGCAGGCGAGGGCTCGACACTTGCCAGGAGAGACTCAACCAAGGACGACGACCGTCCCAAGCGCCCAATTCACCCACCAAAGAAGGACCTGGCATATGAGGCGAAAGGAAGCAAGAAGAAGAAGCTCAGCCCAGAGCTGAGGTTCTGCGAAGATGTCCTCAAGGAGCTCATGAAGCCCAAGCATCAAGCAATTAATTGGCCTTTCCTGAACCCTGTGGATGAAGTCAGAGACGGGGCCCACGGCTACTTTACGATGATCACGGATCCAATGGACCTGGGTACCATTCAAACCAAGCTGAATACCGGAAAGTACGCGAATGCCGAGGGCTTCAGGCACGACTTCAACTTGATGCTCGACAACTGCTTCATCTTCAACCCGGCCGGCACCGAGGTCAACAACGTTGGCAAGAACTTGCAGTCATGGTTCAATGGCAAGTGGGTTGACATCAACACATACGTCGCCAAGGCGTCTGCCAAGGGCCCCCGGAGACCCTCGGCCTCCAGTCCGGGTGCTGGTGCCAAAGACGGCAGTGACGACGAAGCACCAAGCGAGGCAGAGGCAGAACTGGAGGCTGTGGAGACCAAGGAGGAGATTGAGCTCAAAAAGGCTCTCGAGGCTCTGAGGTCCAAGTTGGAGGTGACCAAGAAGGAGCTGACCGAGTGCCTTCTGCAAGAAGCAACCGACATGGCGCAGATTGACATTCATCACTCCATCATCAAGATGCTCACCGAGGGTGTCAAGGAGAAGGAGGCGAAGCTTAAGGAGCTTGGTGGTAATAGACAGGCGGCGAAGACAAAATCGGCGCCCACCAAGCCGAAGAAGTCGTCGGCCTCTGCCGCATCCGCAAACGCCTCATCAGCTCCAAAGAAGCCGTTTGGGGGTGCCTCGAGGAAGAGCGGTGGGGGAGGTGGTTCCAACAGCAGCAAGAAGTCTGGCGCCAAGCGTCCTCTGACGGATGTTGAGAAGCAGGCGATCGCTAACGGCATCAATGATCTCGACGAGCCCTACATAACGACGGCGATTGATATCATAATGAAGGACAATCCCAAGAACAAGGTATGTCTTCCCCCCGCTGCTCCTCCGATATGGTCCTTGTGCTGCCCCTGGTTCAATAGCTGACTCTTGGCGCCTCCGCATCTAGGAAAACGGAGATGGAGAATTGGAGCTTGAGATTGACGCGCTTTCACTTGAGGCCCTACATAAGCTCTACGATCTAATGTGCAAAGGAATTAAGGGTTTCCGGAGCAAGGTGGAGGCAAAGATCAAGGAGGAGACTCAAGTGTCTGCGCCACCAGCTCTCAACCAGCCGGCGGCACAAAAGCCCAGGAAAAACAAGCCCATGGGCAAGGGCGAACAGGAGCTGAAGATCGAGCATCTAGCAAAGCTCAAATCTCAGTTCCGGGGCGGCCGCCAAGGAAGTGGCAGCCAAGAGCCGCCTACCTCGAATGAGATGGCATCTACAGCAGAGCCTGCCCAAGCTGACGACGACAGCGATGTCAGCTCCGAGGAGGATTGAATCGTGCCTGTCCGCCCCATGCCCCGCGTTGCCATCACCACACCCACCTCTTATTTCTGACCGACGACACTCCCCATCGCCGGCATCATGACGTGTACGCGTACGAGAAAACCACAAGAACCTCGCCAGGCATCTGAGCAGCCCAAGCTCTTCCGCCACTCGGTCTTGGGAATCGCTGCCACAGCACAAGGAGCTGCTGCAGGTGGCGAGCGGTCGTGTCCCCTGAACCTTTTCAGGGCGACAAACTTGGCCACCAACGCCCCCTTTTTTTATTCCTTTTTTTTACTCTCCTGCAAGGCGTTGTGGCGGAAGTCTGCGCCGGATCCCGTGGCAGTCGGGAGGTTCAACAGTGCTTCGAACCTAATAATGCTGGGTGCGTCATCGATTCCGAACATGACCGAGTAGCCCAGGAAGAAGGGAACTGCTGGGACGAGAACCAAAGCAGACATGCCCGGAGCATCGCTTGATGATTCCGAACAGAGTCTGATTCATTGGCTCGGCTCATGTTTGTTGTGGCAAGGAAAGCATGTCTCTGATGACTAGGGGTTTCTCTTTCCCTCGTTCCTCGGGGCTGCGTTTCCGACCACTCCAGGCTCCTCTCCCCCTTGTCAAGGGAAAAACGTGCCTTTATGTAGCATAGGTTTTTATCGCATCTTTTTTTTTTTTTCGTTGACCTCGGCATCTTTTTCCGTATTGCTCGTTTTTCTTCTCTGCTCGCAGAGCCTGCCGACTGAGCAGGGGAGGCTAAAAGGGAAAAGGTCAAGTCGTCGTATGTTGTGTATGTATGTTTGAGTAAGATAGATATCAATCAAGACTCGTCGACGGAAGCGTTGAGCGACCTTGGCTCTATGAATGCCCGCCCCGTTTGTGTGCTGAGTGTCGCTTGACGTAGTGAGCGAGGGTTCTAGGTCATCTCCTTGACTCTGTCTTTGTGGTGTGAGGAGTTCGGGATGGCGGGACCGATGATGGCTGGAGGCCTCCTTGAGGCCGAGGCCAGGAGCCATAATGCGGTGCTCTTGTTCAGAGAAGGCCCGCTCCGCCCGCGCTTGTGGGCGGCTTGTTTGGTGTGTGGTATGACCTCCATTTATGGACGATCGGATCAAAGGGGAAAGCCGTGACGGTTGGCACGAGCGGGAAAAAAAGTTGTGCTTGACAGAGCGGGGCGGTAGGAGGGGAGATAGGCGATGAGGGATGATCAACCTCTCCGAACAGAGCGCCGGCCCTTGCCTCTTGGACTTCTTGTGCTTGTCTGCCAGTATGGGGTGATGATGTTTATCATGTGCGTGTGCGGCGTGGTCGCAAGCGCGCGGCAAGCGACGGCAGCGACGGCAACAGGGGCTTTTTTTTTCTTCTTCTCTTTTTGTTTTTTGTTTGTGGGCAAGAACTTGGAAGGACGGAGATCTTGTGGTCGGGTCGCAAGCGCTTGCGAGCGAGCCTGTCGGTCTTGGTCGACCACTCCATGTTCCCGGAAGAGGGGTGTGTTGGGATCTTCGTGGTCCCCCCCCCTTGGGATGCGTCGTTGGGAACCGGAGACCTTCTAGCGACAAACAGGACTTCCTCGGTGGCCGTGCAGCCGACCGAGGCCGGGCAGGCAATAAGGCTTCTCGTGCCGCTGCTCCGCGGGTGTGCATGGGCTCGTCGCTATGGCGAAAATCTCGAGTCTGGGTGGTGGCGTGGGGGCGAATGAAACGGTTAGCGGACGTTGGTTTTCGTTTTCGAATAGGGCAGGGACTCAAAGAAAAAAAAATCCACGCTGTCTGGCAGCGAGCTAAATATCGTTGATGCTTGCTGTGCAGCTTTGATGAGTATTGGGAGAGGGAGTGGTCGCCTGTAGGACAATGGGGGATGGGGAGTCGGCGAGAGAAAGGCGCCCCGAGGATGAACTGTCATAGGGGGGTCGGATCGGTGGATGGGATGAAAAAGATGGGGTTGGATCCGCGCCAGACATTGTGGAGGTCGTTTTGTTCTCACCTCGCGTCCGTCACTGTCAAAAGATTGAAGTTGGTAGAAATGAACGCGTTGGTTGCCCTGGTTGTTCTAGAAGGGAGTTTCGCGAGGACAGGACTGGGGTGCAGATGGATCGCGAGCGGACGGTGGGAATTTCGGAAGTGGGCAATCTAGCAGAATCTGGGGAGCAGAAGCGCAGCGGGTTGGGCTTTCTGCTAGGCTGTCAGCCGATCAACAGCCAGTGGTGGGTGGATGCCCTGGGAAACATGAAAATTGATTGAATTTAATCAACTTTCCCGTGACAACCGCAGCGCCCAGCGTCTAACTTTTCCCAGGGTTTCCAGTTTTCCACAGCAAACTAGGGTGACGTGCGCTCTATTTGCGAAGTCTAAAATGTATTGCTGCGATTGACCTTGTCGAACACGATGTAGGTGGTATGCTGGGCAGCATTATGACATTCGGCGGAACCAACGCGGCGCGAGAATGCAACTACCCCGTGACATCGGTCTCGCACCTGTATGGATGGATTGGACGCTTGAGGGAGTTCGCAGACGTAGCCTCGGACGTCCGGTCCTACGCGGGAAGCTACGGGCTTAAAAAGCAACACGCGGATTTCTCCTTGAGCATCGACCGAGACCAACCATAGCAAACAAGACACTCACCCATCCCTCTATATCACACGGCATATATCCACTTGGTAACATCAAACCCCCCGCGCGACGACATCGAAAATGCTGGGACGCGCGCTCCTCACCATCGACTGCGTCGGCCTGCTGTTCGGCGCCATCATTGCCGACTTCAACGAGACGCACATCTACAACCCGCGGTGGCCGCCGCACGCCAGGTTCCACAACGGCCAGACCATGAGCCTGTCTGTCATCCTGGGGCTCGCGACCCTCTTCTACACCTGGCGCCCTTACCTGTCGTCGGGCGCGGGCGCCGTGTCGGCCGAGCTGTCCCGGGACTCGCTCCGGGTCGCGGCCTTTACGGGCTCCATCTACTGGATCGCCGGCCTGGCCGCCTACTTCTTCCCCGGGGCCGACGGCCTGGACCCGGAGTTTGGTGGCCCGGGGTTCCCGCAAAAGTGGATATTCATGGGCTTCGGCCTCTGCGGCCTGCTGGGCGGCACCGTCCTGGCGCCGAGGAAGTGAGCGGGCGCCCTTCGTTGGCGAATGGGTTGGTTGGGTCGGACGAAGGGAATACGGGGGGGCGGGGTTGCGAGTCCGGCGGTTTGCTACTGCACGTCTGGGACGTCGCTGTATAGATTGCTGTCGCGCATTGGGGTTTGAGGGAGCTCATGATGCGACGGGCTGGGCGCCTTTTTGTGTCAAACCTGGGTTTCGGTATTGGGTCGATGCCGACTGCCATAAAAGGAAAACATTTACGGTTCTAATGTCTAATCCATCAGTGTGTTGTGCACAAAGTCGGCAGCATTCGAGACCGAGACCGACCGGATTTTCCCCTCGGATTTTCCCCTCGCGCATTGTTCAGGCGCCCCAAGTTGGACTGGTGCTGTAGTTAGAGCAACCCGACCAGGCCACGTCACAAAAGGCCCAAGCGAGCCCCTTTTATCGCGTGTTGAGCGGCGGACCCTCAGAAACAGAAACAGCTCCATTGTATGTAAGCATAACTTCAATGTCGTCAGCACCATCGGATGTGGGCTGGAGCCGTTTTGGCGGTAAACATGCTTTCTTTACAATGGAGCATTGCTCCACAAGGCGGAGAGGCAGAGGGGTGAGAGGCGAGAGGGTCACACCTGCCCGGCTTTTGCACTTGCGCACTGCCTTGTCCCCAGCCGGGAATTTGTTTCCTCAGCAAATCCAATCGAGCCAGGTGGAAATGCCAGTCGAGGCATTGCTTGTGCAAAGCCTGCCCGCTGCCCAGCCCGTCGCTGACACAGACGACACCAACACGAGAAACAGCAAACCAACACCACCAGCAATCCGGTAACCGCTCGCGTGCCGTCTTTCCCGAGCGCCTGGTAGTGCAGGGTCAGCGGCTGGCGGCTGGCGTCCAACCAAAACCCACAAGGCCCTGGCCGCGTCGCTCCAGAACATCAGAATTACCTCTGCCAAGCCGGGAAGGCCCTACGCCAAAAACAGCGCGCCGGTTTGTGGGTCGCTGGGGTTGGTTCGGCGAGTTGGTGTCGAGCTGGTGTCGAGCTGGACTCGCGCCTCCGCTTTGGATGACGACGCTTTCTAGCGCTCACAATCCCCTTGTTGCTTTTCTTCTTCTTGTCCAGCGCCTCAAGCACACACGGACGCAATGCCATCTCAAAATGCGGCAAGAAAGGCGGCGCAGCACACCAAAGCGCCCTCCCGCTAGTCCGTCTTCAGGCCGGGCCAGGGGTCGACCTTGTGACGGGCTTGGCTGGGATTTGACGGAAAGGTGGGCGACATTGCGACGACGCAATCTCGAAAGCTGCTCCCACTTTCCCCTCGCCGCCGCTTGCTGGCTCTGCGGCCTTTTGTCTTTCTCGTACCAGAGGGGTGCGCTAGTCGTGTGTCTCCGTCGTGGCTCATTCCCTCCTGGACGCGCAATCCCCTGATCCGTGATGCCTTTTCCCCGCTACCCCCGTCTGGCTGCTGGGGACGGATCACCCTAGATGACCCATCTCGCTGTCGATCTCTTTTTGGGTGGATGGGTGTGCTCGTGGCTGAGAAGTGTGTGTTTGTGTATGTGCGGTGCGTTTGTCCACTCACAAGACTTCCCAAAGCCCACCGCATGGTTGTTAGCCGCCAACATCTTTGGCTTGCACGTTTCGCCCTCGTCTGTTCCACCCGACTCGCGCGAACATCAATCTTTGCGCACTGGCAATCTGAATTTGCCCATCACTCCCCAAAAAGGGCTGAGATGGGGCCGGCAGACGACGTTCCAGACCGCGGGCGGCTTTGTGCTTGCAACGTCTTGGCATCTGTTCTGCCAGTTTCAAAAGCACGCAGATCACCGGCTTGGCCAGGCGAGGATCAAACCGCCCGTCTTCCACGCGCCCACACCCCCCGTCCCGCTACTGCCACAAGCACAACCACACCGGCATTCTTGCCTCTCTCTGACCAGCCCTTTGTCAACTCCACGCCGCCCCTTCCCTCACGGGCCAAGTCGAACCGGCCCCACCGGGACTGCAAGCCAAACCTGCCCATCCACGCTCATCCCATAGTCATCCCCACCCCCTGAGCCACAAAATATCCCGCCTGCGCACACCCCACCCCTCGGGACGTTTGTCCTCCCCGTCCCTGTCCTTGGTTGGGGACTTGGCCAGGCGGGTCTACTCCAGCTTGCCTGCGAGGTTCGTGCCCGGTTAAGCTTGCATACACCCCTACTGGGCCACTTCTTGTTTCCTGATAAGCCTGGGTTCCCGCTTCTTCTATCCAGCTTCATCCCAAGTAAAGTTGTCAACCGCTCGTTGCGCTGCTGTCTTTTGTTGATAGGGCTCTCTCTTGTGTTTTTCCTGCTTTGTCTGGGACTGCCGTTCGTTACCATCGCTGCCTCCCGCTATCAACCATCAACGAGTAAGCGTCTTGACTCGCCAGCCTCACTGATCAACCATAGCCCCGAGAGTCTCCTGGAAGAGGCCGGCGAGAGAGTGATTCTGAGACACCCGGATCTTCGCAGACCATTCCGCCGGGTATTCGACTCGGTGCTATCCACGCAATTTCGGTCCATCAGGCGTTGATATAGGGGGGGAACCGAGCTCCCCCTGGCTGCTGCAGAGGGGTCCGCGCAAAGAGGAGGGAACGTCCCGATGGGGTGTTGGGGTTTTCGAGAGGAAGTTTAAAGGATTCCAGCCGGTCGCCACCGGCATTCCAAATCGCCGTCATGATCGCAAACGGGTCGCCCTACTGCTTACAAACCTCGCCGAATGGACATCGATGCTTCGGCCGCCCCAGGGTTCACGCTCTGCTAGCATGGCTTTCCACCCGAGTCCTCCGCGGGGGACCCCGTCTGCTTCTCCAGGTCACCGCCTGCATCCTGGTCGTCTACTTGGTGACCACCACGCTGCCCCAGCGTGCCTCGGATGTCGCCTTTGGCAGAGGCTACAGTGCGCTATGGAAGTGGGCGGGCCGCAGAACGGGCGGTAGACCCGCTGTTGACGACGGGAGCGTGGCTGGCGGACTGAGGGTCGTTGTCTTTGGCGCCAGTGACATGGCAACCATCCCGGATGGTGATGATGCCACTAGCGAGACGACCTGGAGTGAGGTCATGTGCACCGAGGTGAGCATTCCCAGGTTGTTCTGGACCCTTGTTGAGATACCCCGTGCTGACAAACAGCCGCCTGCGCTTAGCTGGACTGCTCGACGTACATATCACTTGTCCCAAAGGCGCCATCTCGCGCTCTCTCGTCCAACACTCTTTACGCCTCGGTGGCGCTGCCCAAGGCTGACGCGGACCCGGAGAATCCGACACCACCGGGGCTTGACTACTCCTTCTACCCAGAGCTGTTCCCCGTGCCATCCGACGTGCCCGACTTCAGCAAGCAGGTGACCGAGTTTCTGTCTCGGCCCCGACCTCAGCTTCTTCCCAAGGAAACGCTCTGGGTCTTCAACTTTGGCCATTGGGACATCTGGAATTTGGCAGCACTGCCTCTTAAAACCAGCCAGCCTGTCGTCGAGGCCATGGTGGACGAAATTGCCCTCAACATCGAGAGGCTATACATTGCTTCCGTGGACGAAAAGTCTATTGCGCACTCGGATTTTCTGTTCCGGAACTCGACTGCTGCTGCGACATGGGCAGACGGCAAGGCCGCGAAGGGCACGGCGCGTGCGCAGGCCATCGCAGAAGCTCAGGAGGCCGCGAAAAACGAGCCTGAGGAAAAGGAGACGTTCCGGGTTGTGGTGCCCATGATCTTTGACCAGACACTCGCCCCGGGGTGGAGGACGGAGCGGCCCAGCGTGCCGGCGCCGCACTCCAAGGCAGAGCAGCAGCGCAACGCGGCCACCCTCACGGAGCTGTGGAACCAAAAGCTGCAGATGGTGGTCACGGAATGGGCCAAGAAGGAGAACCCGAAGCCCCAAGACGAGGCCCCGGCTTCCGCCGACGACGTGAAGGAAGCTAGCCGGGAGGAGCGGGATGGGCCTAAGCCGCTCTCGCGGCGGGCAGATGATGCAAGCAACGGGGGCGCCCAGCCCGCAGCATCCACCACGGACGCGCCGTCGTTCAGGATGATCAGCCGCAGGTCCGACAAGGGGGAAAACCAGGAGCAGTCGCACCCACCCCCGCCAAAGGCCTACCCGTTGCGCGACGCCATTATCTACGACCTGCAGGAGTACCTGACCGAGATCATGGTGGAGCGGCAGCTCCGCAACGTCGGCTACGTCGACCAGAACGGGCTTGGCAGCAAGCCCGAGGCGCAGGGGTTCAGCGACATTCAGACGCCCTGCGTCAAGCGCGCGGCGAAGGCGCCACCGCCGCCGCCGCCGCCGCTGTCATCATCGCCACCTTCCATGCGGACGACCAAGAGGAGGAGCGGGTCCGACGAGAGGAAGCCGGCAGGGAAGGCCGCCGGGCTCGGCGGCGAGGTCTGCGACAGCCCGAGCGACCGCTTGTTCTATACGGCCTTCACGCTGTCGCCGCGCGCCGTCGGCGAGATGGGTCGCGAGATCGCCGAGCTGGTCGTCGAGAACCACACTCTCAGGCAGTACTGGGAGTCTAATGGGACTCGCTGAGGTAGCACTCTGCAAGTTAGCGGCGTTGAGGGCGGTGGCTTTGATGACATGGGATTTTTATCGATTCGTGCTACCCCTGGGTTGCTGGCACAGATCTACCTCTCAATGAGGCTGTTTGAACCCAGGGCTTGTCTATTTTCCTTTGTTTGGGGTTCGGTCACTCTGGAGAATATGTGTAACATGGTCTACACGGTTGCATTGGGCGGCGTTTTGGGGCTTGGACCTGCGCCAGATATTATACATGTCTGGTTTAGGATATGACATGATATCGAAACACGATTACATTTACAGAAAGTGACACTTGATCTCATGCTTGACATTGCTTTTGTCCCTAATTCCTGGAACGTGTCTCCCTCGCGCGCACGCGGCATCTCCCTACCTCCACACCTCCCTTTTGAGGCTTCATCTAACGGGGCCCACAAAAGCTCTTCGGGGCACCCTCAAACATGATCATCAAGCGCCTCCAGCCCGCCCGCTACCTGGCCGGGCTGGTGCTGGCCTGGGGCGTCGTGGCGACGCTGACGGCCTGGGTCACCAACCTGGTCGGGCTGGTGGCCTGCCGGCTGCTCCTGGGCTTGTTCCCGGGCGTGGCGCTCTACTTCACAATGTCCTACGGCCGGCGCAGCATCGCCTACTTCTTCGCCACCTCGGCCTTTCTCGGGCGTCGTCGGCGGCCTGGTCGCCTACACCGTCGGCGCCCTCGCCTGGCGGCGCCTGGCGCTGGATCGTGCTCGTCAACGGCATCCCCAACGGTCCTGGACGGGGGGGGGGGGGGGGGGGCGTCGCGT